AGGCGTAGCAGCTGCAGTGCTGCCGGCCTTCGTTGCCCGCTGCTGGGATTGCTTGCCTGAGGTCGGTTGCTTTGCAGTAGGTGCCGGCGTGTCGCGCGTGTCGGAGCGCTGGCGATGCGCCGAGGTCACTCCGGCAGCCGCCTTGCGAACAATGTCTGCATTCCTGGGCGTGCCACAAGCATGCCCAGCGCGGGGTGTGCATACGGGTGCTCCATATGTTTTCTCAGGCTTTATGTTTGCACGGGGCTGACCCTGAGCGTATGTTGAGTCTGCCGCGCCAAGGGAGGCCCTCCTGTCCGCGCAAGCGCTGCCGCTTGTTTCGCCGCTGCCTTCCAGCAGGCCGTCGAGCATAAACCCCGCAGGAAGGAGTGCTTGTATGTCCAAGTTTTTTGAGCTGGCTGGCGAATACGCAACGGTTTCCAGTTGCGCAAAGCACAACGGATCGTCAGCCAGAAGCTTGAGGGATGGCGTGCTGTCTGGGGGAAGCAGGTGCCGCGAGCCCGAAGGGTGGTCGGCAGCGTCTGCCATGGCAGCAGCAGGCGTGCTGACATCCTTTTTGTGCCGGTCGACATTGTCGGCAGCGGCATACGGCTGGCCGTCCGGTTCGGCTGTAACTGGGCTTCGTTGGATTTCTGTAGCGGTAGCATCTGGGTTCCGTTGGACTTCTGCAATGGCTGCGACTGGGCTCTGCTGGGGTTCCCCAGCGCCTGCGACTGGAGTCCGTTGGAGGTCACCAGCGGTTGCGACTGGGCTCCGGGATGCTGCTGCGCCTTGGAAAGCAGTCTGTTTGTCTGCGACGTTTCCGGCATCGGCAACTCTGAGCTCAGGTTCTGTTACGCTCCTCAGTTTTGACGGTCCTAGCGCTGTAATCCCCGAGCCGTAGGAGCTTGGCCTGCTGCCAACAGCTTTCACGCAGCTGGTTGGGATGCCATCAGCAAACATAAGCGTCTTCCCGAGATGCTTCCGGGATTGCACGGTTGGACATCCGTCAGGTTTGGCAGGCTGCGATGACCTAAGACCTGTCCCCATAGCCGAGTAAAAAACCACGCTGTCAGATACTTGGGCACTGTCATATGTCTTGTTGCTGAATGGCGTAAAAAATTGGGCTTGGTGAGCCTGGTCAGCATTGGCTGGCGTCAACATCTGCTTGAGGTCAGCGAGCTGACCCAGCGAACAACTAACAGAAACCCCCAGTGCAGGATTATCAAAGCTCGTGAAATCATTATCGCGTTTCCTGGGCTCGGCATCCGTGTTAGGAGAGCTGGAGCACAGCAATGGTAGCGTTTCCCGTGCTGACATATCTCCACTCTATTAACATAGCAACAATCAGTGCGTTATACTGCAGAGTGGAGGTACGGTTCCATACGAAGAAGCATTACAGTTCGCACAGTTGTGCAGCAATTTTTAAAATGTCGTAACGCGGATCCCACAACCAAGGGATCCTTCCGGCATGCCAAGGGCATAGTAATACAGCTTGTGATACACATACAGAAGCCAAGGTTTCACAAATGCACAGTACCCCACAGTAGAAGGGCAATAGAAGGGCAGCACCGCCGTAGGTTGCAGTTCAAGCCATTAAAACGCATGTGGGCCAACGAGAATAATAACCGGCGCTGGTAGCACAGGGCGGCCTGCGCGGCCATCCTACACGCCACCCTGCCCGCCCAAGTATGGATAATTCAGCCAAAGACAGGCGACACGAAGCAGTTCATGTCAGGAAAACAGCAAATGTCCCCGGGATGGGAGCATGGCACCTCAAGTGGCCCCGGCCATCGCAAAGCTGTTTCCTTCAAGGCCATACGTACAGCAGCCCTGTGCAGCCCGTGCCAGCCATTTCGGCCAAAGCAACCAGCAACAAGCGCCGTGGCTTTCGGGCCACCCGTCCGCCTCCCCGCGCAACCCTTCCCAAGATACAAAAACTGCAGCATCAGCTTAGCTGTAGGACCCATCCCACAAGGTGGTATATGTCATAGCATGCCGTAGCACATTACAACGAAACCCAACAAAGTAAACCCCCAACAGCTGGTTCTCAGCAGCCGCGCCCGGCGCTAAACGCGCCATAAAACTCTCCCCAGCAGCCGATTACCGCCTTGGCCGGAAGCAGCTCTACATGCGCCAGTAGTCACACAAAGGCGCCGCGCTTGACTAGAGTTTGCTGTAACCGCGCCCCGCACTCGAAGTACTGCGTGCATTTCCGCCGGGTGAGTGGCGGGGTTCTCCCTCAGCGTCGCGAGACGCGTGGGTGAAGTCGCATGCCAGGCTCGTCTTAAAAAAGTCTCCAAATATGTACATAAACCTGCGAGGTCGATGAGGCAGCAATGTGACAATCTTAAGGTGGGCCCTTCCTTTCTTTGCAGCACCGTGAATCGTGAAAAAAGTGGAAATGTGTTTTTTTTAAATGTAAGCAACACGGTGAACTGCGCAACTTTCCCATGCATGTCTTGGCAGGCGCGGCCAACTCCCTCACCCAAAGGAGGGAGCAAGGCACAGCCCCCAGCCGCAGCACGTGCAAGCATGCAGTGATCAGTGGGCCTTACACGTACAGCAACAGCATTTGACAGTATCTTTCCCCTTGTGCAGCAAAAGACATGGGGATATCGTAACACGCCCGAGGATGCTGACGGGGAGCGGGGCTGCCCTACTACGACTCACAACAGCCGCAACTACTTCTTTGCCGCAGCCTTCGCTTACCAGATGCCGACTAGCATCCCTGGGACTGCTCCCAGCGCCGTCCGTACCGCCTGCTCCACCGTGCTCAACACTTTCGCATCGCATACACAGGATTCGCTCGCGCCCGCCTGCATCGCAAGCCAGTACAGCGTCCCGCGCCCCAATCAGCGCAGACATCCAGCAGCAAAGGTTGAAGACAGTCGGTGCCAATCAAATGCGCCAAACAGAAATATTCCTTTGGGCTTTTGAGCAGAAAGTTTCATGCGACCTCTTCGCCCAATCGGCATTGCCTGAGACATCGTCGACGCTAGTGATATCTCCTTTGCGTTTTGTACGTACTGTGCATACATATAGTCCTACTCCTGCTACTCCATTTCTCGACTGGCTGCGCTGCTGAGTACTTCTCGCAGCAGACCGAGTCACAGAAGATCACGAGCACCCTTACTGCACACGCGCGCGTGTACGTTGTACCTGAACGAACTCGAACAGCCGCAGGTTAAGGCACGTGGAGGGACAAGCCGCCGCCGCTGGCCAGCCGTTCTTGATCATCGTGGCCAGGACGAGATCACCGCTTGCGGCCGCCATCTCCCCGGCCGTGACCGTCCAGTCGACGTACCCGTTTTTCCAGTTGTTGTACACCGGCGACACGGCGCCCTGGTTCGCAAGGACCGCCTGAACTGCATGGAGGCCCACCCATGTCAGGATGGCCAGCACAGCCGTCCCCATCATCAAGACGACGACCCAAACCATCATGAGCCACCAGAGAAAGTGAAGCGCCGCGTTGACCGCCCGGTACACGGTTAGCTGCTTTGGGTTTAGCGCTGCGAAGATGAGGGAGTGACAGAAGGAAAGGAGGTGTCCGAAAATGCAATATAGGAAGAGCGGAGGACGCGCCACTGGGAGAGTGAAAGAGTGGCAAGGAAGTGCACCAAACCAAAGGCCACGCGACGGTGCCATTCAGCGGTTCTTCAGGCTCATGTGCTGTTATCAGTCATATTTAAACATGGAAGCCAGCTGGTTGCGGAAGTTCATAGGTGGGCGGGAGCGCGGCAGCCCCAAGCAATAGGTGTTGGGGTCGTTGACCCCGGGGTAGGGTTAGGACCGATTTCGGTCCTCTGCGGGGCTGACGTGAACTTTTTAAAAATATTACTTGTGAGCTGTGAACTGTCCCCCATAACACGTCAGTGGTTCGTGTTATCCCCAATAATTTCCACGCAGTTCGCCAGTCCCAACACGGCTTCACAACACGTGCTCGGGAGAACAACAGGACACGGTCCGTCACGGTGTGTTGCGCGTGCACGCGTTGGGGCACTGCTTCCCAGTACCGCCTATTACTCACTTGCCGCACTCTTTTTCCTCCGGGATGCTTACTTGAAAGATCATGTTCCACACTAAGGAGCTTTCGTAGGAGGCCCAACCCAAAGAGAGCGCATGCAAAGAGAAGGTACATGGACGATGTCCCTTTGATCGCCTCCTCAATGCGGCCTAGGTTGGGGGCCGTGACAGACGGCCCCAAGACTCCCAAAGAGTACTCCACTTGGTGCAATATGACGACGGTGTAGTGGACCCTGCGATCGTGCGGCGGCATGGCACACGTGGCAGGTGCAGCTGCCGGGTGAAACGCATAATCGGAACGTGGGGCCCAAGGTGCTACGTACAGTTACGACTATTGGTGCAGCGTCGGTGCGGCTTGCGGTCCATAACAAAGATTTAAGATTTTACAGCTTACTACCGAAGGGCGTTTAAGGGACATAGCCGACGGACTCTGGCCTCTAGGAAGAGGAATGGTACGGTACGATACGTTCGTGCAGCTCCAAAGCCTACCAAAAGCTCACCATATTGGGACTCCAATAACCATACATAGCATACATCCCATAGGTATTAAGGGAAGATAGTAGATGAGTGACCGTGTTGACATTCTGAGTTACTTTCCCTCGAGTGTATGCGGAGAATGCTTTGTACCAAACTCGCTATTCGGGGCTCACTAGCGCTATGGAGGTGTAAAATGTGTCTAAAGTGTCACAGCTATGGGCGGATTGTGTGATTCGAAAGCAGGACATTTACAAACGAAGTAAAAATGAAAAGAAGGCATTGCTATCCACTGTTGCAACTTTACAACACGACATCATGCAGGAATCTCTAGCGCAACAAGAAACAGTTAATGCCGTACCATGCCGTGCAAACTACGCAAAAGGGCGGGAGCCATGTACTCATGTGCCCTAAGGAAAGCTTTAGGCAGGTGCTGCAGCTGGAGCGCCTTTGCAGTTACTTGTACATTGTAGTTTTCACCTGTCCTTTGACAATTAACAGAATTTCATCCTTTAGGAAACATGAGCGGCTTCGATGGTGCGCGCTACGAAATTCATCCTCAAACATAGCTTTTGATTGACACGCAACACTGGTTGCTCTGTAATGTAGGTGGTCGGGTTTACTACAGCTATCAGGGCCAGGAGGCACCGCGTGAGCCGCTTGAAGAAGGAACTGGCTTAGCCGACAAGGAGCTGGTTGACCACTTCAAAAAATTTATTCAGACTTACCAGATTGGTACCACCAGGGACGTGTCTGAGCGGCGCCTCTATGCGTAAGTACAGCGGGGCAAAACGGGGGCTGGACGCGCACGTTGACAGAAAATGTTGATATTGTGATCTTACTTAAACATGAATGGGACGACTGGGTTCCAGGGGCTGCTTAAAGCTGTTGGACGCCCCAGCTGTCGACCGGGCAACCGACTGCTTATGAACCGCCGAAGCCTTTACGACCTTCGCGCCATCATAATTGCATGCCTTCAGTTAGAAAATTGATTCCTTTATCAACCTGCATCCTCTCCTGAACCTGACCGTGACCCGCTAGCGACGACCTGTATGAGCGCCGAACACATCTCCACGTAGACCTCAAAGATGTCCGTGCCGCCTCCCACCGCCTGGCTGATGAGCTCGAGGAGCGGCCGACCGAGGTTCTGCCCTTGGTAAGTGCCGCACAGCTTTCCATTCGAACGTGTTCGACAAAATGCTGCATTAGTAACCTAGTCACAGGGTTTGACACGTTGCGCTTCCTGCGGGCGCCCTTTTAACAAGCTATGGCGAAGGGTCTCCGACAATTGTTTGCAATTCTTACTTGGTGTAGCGTAGCGAGGAGGGTCATTAGGAACCCGTCCCGTCCACCTCTTTGTTTCCCCCCTGACTAGGTTTGACCATACGCCGACCGCTTCCCACTTAGCAAGCATATCGACCAAAAGAACAAGGGTGCCCCCTTTTCCGCCTATGTATCGTCCTCGGCTTGACACAGCTCAACTTCTCCTAACACTCCAACCCTCGCACCGTGCCATGCTGTTGCCCTGCAGTTCGAGGAGGCCGCCTACCAGGTTCTTCAGGACATGGTGGCGGCGGACGAGGAGGGCAAGCCCGTTGAGGTTCAGGACGTACAGGTGGGAGATTAGCGGTTTCAGGAATGTGGTGGCGGAGGGGTCGGGAGACAAGGAAAGCTTGCAGCTATCCAGACACGACCCGGACATGCAGGGCCAGACAAGGAGAGGGGGACCCAAAGCCGAGGTGCCGGTGGCGGCAGTGGCAGTGTCAATGGGGCCAGGAACCTGCAGGAATACACGGCCCGTTGTAATCTGCCCATCTGTGCCTTTGCACTTGATGGGAAAGAAGTGTAATGAGGGGGTATTGGAAGGCGTGTCCCCAAGACCACTCGCAGGATTAGTGGTTCAGGAAAGCGCCTGAGGACCCAGGACCTTTACGGACCCAGAGCCGCCTGGCTCCAGGGCTAGGGTCTGAGCTCTCGCAAAGGGATGGGCGAGCCGAAGCCTGGGTGAATGGATCATTCGAGGAAGAGGGGCTTTGTCCGAATTGGGTTTTTCTCTTATGGGCTTAAGCTTTATGTTTCGCCCGTGACCGCCGCATTACATGTTTATGAGGCTTTATTCCAGCTTTCGACGGATTAATGATTTTGTCGACGGAGCAGCAAGGGGGCAGGGGTCGGGAATAACAGGAGAGGGGTGGTGGAGGAGAGGATTTCTTAGAGAAGGGGAACGGCGCTTGGAGGTCCCACGTATGGCCAGTTGTCTGCTGGCACATTGCAGCGCGCCTCCCCCTTTCCCTTCCCCCAACAGGACATGCATTCCCATGTAATGAGTAATCGGCACTTCGTAATAACACAAGTACCCAACTTGCCTGACCCGTAAGTGTGCATTGCTGTCGTACCTTTTGCCGTACAGGTTCTGCTGTACAGCTCCATTCCGTTGGCGCAGAGTCAGGCTATGTCCATCCGCGACCTGGAGTCGTCCCGAGTATCAAAGCTGGTCCTGCTGACGGGCATCATAACGGCGGCGTCGAAGCCAAGGGTATGTCCGCTCAGTGTTCGGGTTTTTAACCACTTGGAGCAGATCTGATCGTCCGGATGGCGGGACGCAAAATATCACCCGATATACACCCGACTCGTGTGTTTTAGACTTCATGACTCGGGACGACGCACACGAGTCGCGGCTCGGTTCATGGGACGGAGTCTTGGGTTGGGGACACCCGACTTCTTAACTCACTTCCCGTGCTGCCTCTTTCCTGTCTATACTGCATGTTCCCATTCAAGGTTTGTATACAAATGTATCCCTTTTCCACCGCCTTTGAACGCGAGCACGCCACTTGTAGCCTTGTTCGCGTTTTGGCCATTTGGGTTGGTACGAAATTCAGCTACAACAGAACGCATGAGCAGCTCCTATCCGCCTATTGTCATCCACCGCCTGTCTGCTCCTCCCTGCGACGTCACGTTCCGGCCACGGGCCTCACCCTTCCCCCATACACACACACACACTCCCCTGCCTGTATCCACACACCCCGCACGCAGCACAAGGCCACCTACCTGACGCTCCAGTGCAAGACCTGTCGGGGCACCAAGCGCGTGACCTGCAAGCCCGGTCTGGGCGGCGCCTACATGCCCACCTACTGCGACATGGCGGACCGTCGGGCGCCTGGAGCGGCTGGCTCGGAGGGCTGCGGCCAGAACCCCTTCGTGGTGCTGCCCGAGGGCTCCAGCTTCGTGGACCAGCAGACGCTCAAGCTACAGGTGCGGTTCACAACATGACCAGCTATGGCACCTTTATGAATAGGACACAGTGGCTGTGGTTGTGACACAGTGACTCTTCCACCACTGAAATTATGTCTTCTGTCTCTACTCGTCATCGTGGTCGTCAGGCGGCCCCATGCGGTGGTACGGTGTTGGGTTATTTATACCTTTGCTCCTTGAGCCCTTCCTGTCGATGTAATTCCCGTTTTTCTACATCTGACTCTGTGACTCGTTTCGACGCTGCGTGTTTCTCCCTCCCGTGTTTTCCTCAATTGGCCGCCGCTCCCCTGCCACCTTCCCGGGGGCGTGCAGCCTCGTGCTGCCTCGTGCTGACCCCGGGGTAGGGCGCCAGCGCAACAGCAAACTCTTCCCCCTTGTTCCATGCCCACCCGGTGCCATCTGCTGTATCGCGGCTGTTGCAGCTATTGCCGCTGCTGCTGCTACTATTATTATTATTGCTCATGTTACCGGTGCTGTTGCTATTATGACTCACGCTACTGCTGCTGCTATTGCTCGTGCTGCTGCTGGCGCCGTCCTCTGTCTGCCTCTCGCAGGAGAAACCCGAGGATGTGCCCACGGGTGAGCTGCCTCGCACGGTGATGCTGGTGGCGGACCGCCAGTGCTGCAACATCGTCACACCCGGAACCCGGGTCACCATCACCGGCATTTACAGCACATACAAGGTGCGTGTGTGTGGAAAAAGGGGGGTAAGATGACTGACTGACGGCCGGCTGGCTGGCGGATTCGTGATAGGATTGGGCGTGGTAGGAGCTTTGTCGGCACTACCGGCACGAATGATTCTATTATATGTGCGCATGTGAGAGCAGTTTGTTTTAGGGGCCATGCGGGCCGGTAGGTGTGGTGGATAGGAGGCGGGTGTAGGCGACGTATTGGGGGTTTGTAAGACGAGGGTATGGGATGCGTGTGTATGTACCGAGTGGCGTTCCGACCGAGCAGAACCTCGTCCAATCGGTTTGAGGCCTCTTTTACCTGGCACGATTCTCACCAGCCTCAGCACTGCGGCTTCCGACTCCTGAAATCTCTACTGTCTGCTTTTGGACGGTATACGAAAACCATTCCCTTTTAGGCACGCCCGCCTTAAAACCTTGTAAACCCTTCCTGTCCTTCCTCTTAACACCTCCTTGCTGCAAACACGTCCCTTTACCAGGGCAAGGCTATGGACAAGGGCGCCACCTCTTTGCAGCAGCCGTACATTCGTGTTGTGTCAATCATGCAGGAAGCGGGTGACGCGCACAGCCGATTCAAATTCACGTGAGTCGCTGGAGTGGAGGTTTGCTGGATTGGGCCGGATTGGTTGTTCGGGTGGGGTGGGGGCGTTGTTGAAAGAGAGGGAGTCAAGCGGATTGATGATGATGCGAAAGAGGCGAAAGGGCCCACCGACTGGCAGCGGCCTGTGTGCTCGTTACGATTTCGGCTAGTAAATCAGAGAAGCTCGGCATGGCTTGCGCTCCTCTTCCGTGGCTAGGTGTGTGACTGGGGAGAGTGCTGAGTGTGAAAGTACTGGCTGCGCTGTATGAACAAGAGCCTGGTGTAATGTCAGCACCCTATGATGTCACCCCGCTTATCCTCCTCCAAATACCCCTCCCGCTGGCTCGTGGGTGCCGCTGCTCATGGTGGCTGCTGCTGCTGCTCCTGGTTCTAATGATACCCTTCCCCGATGGCCGTGATGATGATGATGACGGTGGTGGTGGTGATGGTGATTCTTTGTGGACCGCAGCAAGGAGGAGATCCAGGCGTTTGAGCAGTTCGCGAAGCAGGACGGGCTACACGACGAAATCTTCGCACGCATCGCACCCAACATCTACGGATCCCCGGACATCAAGCGCGCCATCGCCTGCCTCCTGTTCGGCGGCTCACGCAAGGTTGGAACTGCGGTCTCTGCTGGGCACCGTGGGTGGGTGGGTGTGGAAACTGCCCCCCAGGTGGTGTCGCGTCATTGGACGCGTGTGTGGGGTTGCTGCAGACGTGGCTCGTGGACGGCAAGGGCCACGTTTGGTGCTTTCTTCCGACTAATGACGCGCGCGCCCTTCCATCCGTCGGAAGATCGGCAATAACTCTAATCGGTTCCTCGAGTGGTTTCGGACGGTATTCATAACCCTTTTTCCCATCCGCAACCTCGATCCGAATTAATCGCCCCACAGTCTCTTCCCGACGGCACCAACCGCCGTGGTGACATCAATGTGCTGCTGCTGGGCGACCCCTCGACAGCCAAGTCCCAGTTCCTCAAGTTCGTGTCCCGGGTGGCGCCAATTGCGGTGTACACCAGCGGCAAGGGCTCCTCGGCGGCGGGTCTCACTGCAACGGTGGTGCAGGTATGGTTCACGCGCGCGCGTGTATGTGTGTGTGTGTGCTTTAGAGAGTTGCCGCGTGCCGTGTGTACGTGGCATGTGTGCGTGTAAGTGTTGCGGTTCGTTTCCGCATGTGTTCAGAATGCTGCGGGTGCTATCAGCTTCGCGTCCCTTCGCAGTCTGACAGTCTGAGGGCCATCTTGGGCTGAGGGCCCTCCAACAAGAATGTGTGCTGTCTTGCTGCCCTGTGGGAGCCCCTCCCTCTTCGGACGTCGGCAGTGCTCCATACAACGACCCCTGCATCTGATTGTGGCCACTCAGTCCTCCCCTCCCACCTGCCCTCCCACCCTTTTCCGCTTCAGGACGCCAACACCCGGGAGTTCTACCTGGAGGGCGGCGCCATGGTGCTGGCGGACAACGGGGTGGTGTGCATCGACGAGTTCGACAAGATGAGGCCAGAGGACCGAGTGGCCATTCACGAGGTGAGATACGGCACCAGACGTAACACCCCAGACTGCTTGTCCAAGCTTTCTCCCGCACGAAATCTCTCCCCTAGAAAAATGCTTCACGTGTTTATCCCGGCTTGCACGCAGGCCATGGAGCAGCAGACCATCTCCATCGCTAAAGCGGGCATCACCACCATGTTGAAGAGCAGGACTTCAGTGCTGGCAGCAGCTAACCCGCCGTCCGGAAGGTGGGCCTGGGGCTGGGGCGCCAGGATAGTGTGATGCTGGGCAAGCCTGGCTTTGGTCACATGGTTTTTCTACTGCAGCGGCAAGCCTATCTAACAGCGCTGCGCATCCACATAGGGGATTGCTTACATTACTTGCCGTCGCTGTTGATGTTCGCACGTGCGCGCATACCACCTGCTCCTTTGACCTCTTCTCTCGCCATGCGGCCATGTCGTACGGCCGCAGGTACGACGATCTGAAAACGGCACAGGAAAACATCGACCTGCAGTCGACCATTCTTTCCCGCTTCGACCTGATCTTCATCGTCAAGGATGTGCGCGAGCACGATATCGCCATTGCGAGGCAGGTGCTAGACAACCACCGGCTTGGTGGCGCCATCAAAGCGCGCCGTCAGGGCGCCGGCTCGGGAGCGGCAGGTGACGTGGGCGTCGGCCAGGAGGCGCAGGTGCGTGTGTTCATGATGCTACCCTCCTTGTACTTGTTGTTGTTGTTGTTCCTTGTGTGGTGCTCCTTTCTCGGCCACCCGCTCGGCGTTGTTGATGTTGTATTGTCAATCTACCGAAATGGCATTGTGTTGGGAACTCATATCTCCTACCTCTTTAAACTGCTCTTGCAGGACGTGGAGTTCCTGAAGCGCTATATCCACTATTGCCGCAGTCAGTGCTCCCCCCGAGTCAATGAGGATGCAGCCAAGCGGCTGGCGGCTTTCTACGTAGAGATCCGCAACGAGGTGCAAAGGGAGAAGGGAAAAGAGAAGGGGTTGGGGCAGCATGTAACGAAGAAATGTTGTACCTGTTGGGCGTGTACGTACCGCCGCGGGATCCGACATCCGCCGATCGGTACTACATTTCTCTGTAGTGATGCAGTGATACAAAAACAAATGGTGTGTCGAAAATTGTCTTCCTAACGTGGCCGCCGGTATCTATCTCCCGGTTCCGCTTCTCGCACCCAATCACTCGTCCAATCTATTATCCCTTTCCCTCACTCCCACTGCCCGTTGCGGAATCGCCACTGCCACTGCCACTGCCGCCTCAGGCCCGCGCCCAGGCCAACGCAACCGACAGCGACTCCCCACCGGTGCCCATCACCGTACGGCAGTTGGAGGCCGTGGTGCGTATCGCTGAGTCGCTGGCCAAGATGTCGCTGCAGGTACGAGTGGGTTTCGGGAGTGGGTTGGGAGGACGGGAGGGTGGGGTACGGGGGCGTGGATGATTGGGTGAGTGAGCAGCTGAGCCCAACGCAAGGAAGGAGTCCTTGGAAGACTTTGTTTGATACTTGATTTCGTCGTTGCTCCCCGCCGCGGCAGCTCGTAACGTTTGAGCCATCCTTGAATTAAAATCCTTTGTAATGGACTAATGGGTTGGTCTATCACACTGTTTCGCGAATGCCCCATGTGTCCCAACCAAACAACGAACCTAACGCCCCAAACCGACATCGCCCCCTCTCCGTCCCGCTTTCAAACCTCGTCGGATGCCTTATTAGCCTGTGGCTACCCTGGAGCATGTCAATATGGCTATAGAGCTGTTCACCAAGTCAACCATGGACGCGGTCAAGAGCGGCCTCACGCAGACGGAGTTGGGGGGGGAGCAGCAGGTGCGGTGCGGTGGGTGCATAATCGGTTTTTATGGACAAAAAATATACTAGCATGAAAACTCAAAAACACGGGTTCCAGCACTACCGCACACACACACACACAGCCGCATACGTAGCGTAGCGTAGCGATCCGTGCATAGCGCGTCTGTGTACTTATGGGGATGTACGTGGTTTGAGGCGCTCTGTACAGGTGTTATGACAAACCAGAAGTGAAAGTCGCACTTACGCAACGGCCCGTACAACTGTATGAAGGCCCCCTGACCACTCTCCTCGTGCACCCGTTCCTATTCCTAGCCTCGTCCCTGTCCCGAGCCCCGCCTGCCATTCCGTCTCGGCTGTTCCCTTCGTTTCAAAGTCGTCCCTGTCCTCCGTTCCTCCGCTGTTCAATCTCGATCCTGCTGAACCTCAACCCTCCAATCCTCAACCCTTCAGTTGGGTCACGTGCGGCGGCTGGAGGAGCGTGTCAAGAGGCGGCTGCACATCGGCGCATACATGACCACACGGCGCCTGCTGGATGAGATGGTGGCGCTGGGTGAGCCGGAGAGCCTGGTGCTGCGTGTGCTGCTCACTATGGCGGCAGCGGGCGATGTCAACCTCACCCGCGAGCGCACCATGGTGCACCGCGTCAGGTAGAGGGCGAGGAGGAGGAGGAGGAGTGGCGAGGTGAAAAAAGGGCTGAGCAACGGCGAAGCAAGGCGGATGGCGGGCTATGGGGTTCCACAGTTTACCGCATAGTGGAGATGGTGGGCAATTGTTTCGCATTACAGGTGGTAGTCAGAGCACAATTGTGTCTGCGCTATGTCTGCTCCAGTCGGTGCTCCAATCTGAGCATGAGGAGCCGGGACGTGCTCTCGCAGAAACCCGGGGCAGTCGCGAAGTTCAGAGGCAGGTTGGGCTTGACGTTGGGCATGAGTGAGCGGTCGATATTAGATGTGGTTGAGAAACTGTGGTGATGGTGTAATCAAGTAAAAGTCCAACTGACTTTGTTTGTCGGAGTATATGCTGTATTCGTGACGACGGTGTAGTGCCGTACCATACCATAATCCAGGCGGGGTATAAGGTGAAAGGGAGGTAGGCGGTTGGTTTCAACTATCCGATTTGTCTGATTCCGTCAAAGCGGCGCGCGGCCCGGTGTGGTTGAATTACGGCGTGGCGGTGGTAGAGGGAAGAGGACTGCGCATGTCGCTTTCAGTTTTAGGCAAGAGGGGGGAGAATCGTTGGCTTGTCACTGTTGGATTGACATCGTTGCGTTGAGACAAGCGGACATGGTGGCAGGTGCTGCTGCTTCGAGTTGGCTTTATTTTGTGTTGATGATGGGATGGCGCTCCAACGCTACGCTATTCTCCCAAGGGTTGCTTCTCTTGTGGAGGGCAGCCCTAGGGTGCCGGTGCTAGCATGTAAACGTTAACGATAGAAAAAAGGCAAATGTTTGCCTTAATACGGCCAGTTTACATGCAAGCTAGCACCCGCAGCGACCTGCTCTCCCTTGGGAGACTGCACGTTAACCAAGTTCAAAATAATACGGTCCCCGTCCAAGCATTGATTGTTTGCCTTTCCATGAAAATGGCACGGGATCGGAAATGTACTGAAACACAAATGTTCTCAGGGGACAAACCCGAGAGGCAACGCGATCAAGCAATATTCCCTTGTAACAAGAGAAGCGTACTTTCCCCACCTTCGAGCGAAATCTGTTACCCCCGCACCAGACCAATGATATGGCACGGCAACCGGACGCCACTTACCCCCAGTAGCGGGGAACCGGGGCGCCTCCTCTATATGCATTGCACCTTTGCAAAAAATAAAAAGCACCAATAACGTCCCAAAATGCGACCCAGTCCCCTCCCCTTCGCATCTTAAGCCCCTGGAATTGACCGTGCATGTGAACAGATGCGCGGTGGGCATGAGCGGCACCGAGTGAACCAGTAGGTGCGTGTCTGCAAGCATGTGCAGAATCACGCCGCACTGCGACTTCCTGCTGACACACGGCCCCAAGCTCATTGTGCCCCAGCAAATGCATGGTCAGCTTCGAAATGCGAGGTTGTGTACGGCACTTGCTCTCCTCCCGCCGTATTAATCCCTCCGTCGTTTTCCACCCTCCCTCGATTAGAATCCGCATAAGGGCCACGTGTCACTCTTCTGTACAGACACAGCTCTATAGATAATGTACGATGGGAGAAGTGCCATCTGAATCTGAGCCACGACCCAGCTGCAGCCACGACCCACCAGTCCTGCCGTACCGTTCGTACGGGCTGTCTGGACGGGGTAACGGAGCTACATGAGCCGGATGAGACCGGATGCGGTGTCGTTAGCAGAATCGTCCCTTTAAGGGCAACAGGGAACGATATAGTCGTGTGGCAATTACCCCCTTCTTGAGGGTAATGCCGATGGTGCATTCGGACACATTGTACCATATACGATATTCTCATCCAAACACCCTAATGGCGGTGAACATCCCCAACCCCCCCGCAGCAGTAGCGCCATGCCGCTGTCGAGGTCGCCATTCCGCCCTGCAATAGCCCCCCTAGCCCTCTCCCCCTTTAGGCCGCTCTCAATCCCCGGCTGTAGCCTGCTCCTCCTTTACCGTCACCATCATTACCACCATCGCAACCGGTGATGCAACTTTGCTCAAAGCCAGACGAATGCCTCCTTGCCAGGGTCCCCGTCCTGCATGCATGAATGAGTGCAGGACCTGCTTGCCTGCTTGTCTGTTTGCCTGTCGGCCTGCGCATGCTCTTCCTCCTTCTCTGCAGCCATCCGGCGGCCGTCGCGCGCACTCACTCTTTTCCACCAAAAAAATGGCAGTCACGTCAACAGCCGCCCGTACCGTCATATAAACGAGGGAAAAGGAAGCGAGCAGCTGCTAAGACGGGGCACTGAATGCAATAAATACGATATTTAAATACACACTGACGCCTCCCCCCGTAGATGTACAGGCATACACACGGACCTACATAAACACTAGCGGCTAGCTACACGCGGCGAACCCTTGGGCACTGCCGTATCATGGAATACTGTAAGACACTGCAAGGAACACCACTGCCATCACCTAATACCAAATCAGGCCGAGGAGGGTTTAATGATATACTAGTGGCGAAAGCCTGCCAATGTTCGTCCTGGCACGTGCGTGTTTATGGGTACGCGCGCCAGAGCCTGACATTTTGCCGTTGCTTGGGTACCTAGCACTCCCCCATCTGCCTTTGCCGTTGGGTAAAAGCGGCGCGGCGTAGAAGCGGAAGGCTGTCAGGAGACGCGGTAGGCAGGTGGGACAAGACGATCTGCCATTGTTTTATGTTTTATTTGTCATGTTGTGACGGCAGATGAGACGAGTCTGACGCGGACGCTGGGCCATGACATATCTGCCGCGTGAAACAGGAGGAGATACCACATGCGCCATACAAACGACATATATATACACACACACGCTCTCATGCATACAACAGGCAAGGGAAAAAAGCTTGTGAAGGGATTAGGTGCGGAAAAGTGACCAGCACCAGCAGCACTAGCAGCACCAGCAGCACTAACTGCAGCAGCGGTTGCAAAATTTTATTTCTGGAGGTTCACTCATCACTTACACATCTGCCTGCACGTCATCCACATCCCCAGCCAGCTCATCCGGACTCCCGGACGGAAGCATTCTCCCACCCGCGCCAGCTTTCGGTCCTGTACATCCACATCCACATCCTCACTGTTTGACCTCCTTCCCGTCCTCTTCCCCCTCCCCAATCATTTCAGGAATACCTCCTCCTCCTTCTCCTCCTCCTCCTCCTCCTCCCCCCCATCACATCCAAACATTCCCTCCCTTCCCGATAGCTCCGAAGGCTCATGTTTACGTCGACCCCCCAAACAAGTGCCAAAAGCAGTTGACGCACAACAAACACACAACGCGCGAACCACGCCCGCACTCACGCACACACCCAGGCGGACTACTACTACTACAATTGCCTGACTAGGAAAGACGCGCATGTTACATCAACTCCAACTCCCAACTCCAACCCTTACGGCTCGCGGCTCACTCCAGATTAATAACACGTCACAGCCCCACACAGCCCCACACAGGCCCCAAAGCAAGTCTGATCGCCTTTCGTTTCTTAAAACAAAACCCGTGTGGGTCGCTCAGGTATGGTCTTCCCCACTTCTCCCAGCCGGGCCGAAGGGGGGAAGACCTTCACCACCATCACCACCTAAACCACCTGCTTCCCATTCGTCCTTTCCCATGTGCGCTCTTCACGCCCTTCTTCTCTACAGCCGATGAAGTTCCAGGGCCAAGGTCCACGACGGGGCGGGGCGGTACGGGGTGGGGGACGAGCTACCCGGGCACCCACGCATTTACCCCCCTCCGGCACAATCCCCAATTAGTGCCGCAAACTCAGCGCGCCCGAACCCACAGGCGACAGCGCGCCGCCGTCGCCGTAGTACCCGGGGGCAATGTCGCCATCCCCTTCTTCACCCTCTTGGCCCCCATGTCGCGGGTGTTGGGACGACTCCCCCCCGCCGCCATCCTGGGCCTGGCCTTCCGCCGCCGCCGCCGCCGCCGCCTGCTCCTCCTCCTCCTCCTCCGCAGCAGCGTCCCCATCGCGGACCTGCATCGCCCCCAAATCCTCAGCCCCACTACTACTGCTGCTACTGCTGCTACTGCTGCTGTTGCTACGGCTGCGGCTTCGGCGAGACGATGCAGCCGCGCCATGGCCACCACGGGGGTTGCCGTTAGCGGACGGGGCTCCGCCGGCGCCGTCGTACTCCTGCTCGCCGCCGTCGCGGTCTGAGGCCCCAGGGGCGACATCGCCAGCTTCTTCATCCTCGCGAGCCCAGCCCTCCTTCTCCTGGTCTGCTGCCTCCGAAGACCGCTGTACCAGTGCGCCGCCATCAGCCCTCTCGTCCTCGGCGGCCTCTTCGCCGTCAGCCCGGACTCCGCCGCCGCGGCCCCCGCTGACACTTGCCCCATCTCCATCCCCGTCGCCGACGCCGTAAGCACGGCTGGCCTCCTCCTGCGCACCATCCCCGTCATCATCCCCGTCCCCGTTCTCGTCTTCGTCGCCGTCACCACCGTCGCCGCCGTCGCCGCTGGCGCCAGCGGCGCCACTACCTTTCTTGATCCTCAGTACCTCAATAGCGGCTTTCTTACGACCCGTATTCCGAACCGCGAGGACCTCCATGCTTTCCTCGGAACCCAGGTTGCCGCTGGCGCCGGCTGTACGGATAGGCGGCCCTGGCGGCGCTGGAGCCGGCTGCGCCGGCAGCTGCTCGCCGCCGCCTTCAGCGGCGGCACCTCCTTCCGCGGCCTCCCCACCCGTCGCGGCGGTGCTGCCCCGCGGCGACCTCACGTCGGCCGCATCCGGCGGCCTCGAAGCCTCCGGCTTCACCGGGTGCTCTGGCTGATGTGGGTGTTGAGGCTCTGATGATACCCCATTCTGCTCAGGGCTCACCGCCGCCGCCGGCTTGCCCTCCCAAGGCGTCTGAGCCGATGAGGGTGGCGACAGCCGGGCGCCGCCGCCACCGCTGCGGGGCCCGGTGCTGGCGCCGTCGCCGCCGCCGCTGCCGCCGCCGGGCCCTCGTTGGATCATCGCCACCGAGCTGACCATGTGGGTGGAAACGGGAGCCCCGGGGACGGGCTGGGGCTTGGGCTCGGGAGCACACTCGCGCATCATTTGTTCCATTTGTCTGGATCGCTGCCACTCTGAGTCGTGGCAGAGAAGCTTCCGGAAGAGGTGCTCTGAAGGAGGCCCTGGCGGCGGTGGCGGCTGCTGCGGCGGCCGCGGTGCGGTGACCTTCTTGTAGTAGTCCTGTATGTATGTGTGTATGTATGCGGGGAAGCGCGCCGCCCAATTTGGCAGTGCGTGAGAGCGTGGGAAAGGAGGAGATAGTTGTGAGTTGGTTGTGAGTTGGCAGTTGTAAGGGGAATGAGGAGGTTGGGAGTGCGACCCCGCTGGGGTATGTGTGGGAAGATGGGACCGGAAGGGGGGAGGAAGAGGAACGGACTGTAAGGACTGTAAGGACCCAGCCAACTCCAGCCAATGTCTGATGCACCTCACTACACGCACCTCTTGCATCCGATTCACCCAATCAGGGGTGTGGCACTTGGTCCGCAACATCAAGTGATCCGAAGCGCCTGACAGTTTGGGCTTGCCGCCCTTGCCGCCGCCGCTTCCGCCTCCATTCTCGACGGCGGCGCTGTCATTACCGCCGTTACCTGCCTCGCTACTGCCGCTACCGCTGCCACTAGCGTCCGCGGCAGGGTAGGATTTTCGGACCGTTGACAGCGACGCAGCGCCGCCGGTGCCCGAGTACCAGTCGCTACCGCTGCCAACGCCGCCGGCGCCGGCGCCAGCGCTGGTGCAGGTACTGCCGGCGGTTGGCCGGTTACGATTGCCGTTAAGCAACGGATTGTTCCCGGCGTTGACCAGCGCCGCTGCGTACGGCGCCCCTGGTACGATCGCTCGCATCTGACTTAGAGCCATGGGCAGGGCCTTGAGCGCGGGCGCCGGCGACGACACGGGCCGCCCTGGGCTGCCGCGGCGGGGCGCGTCCGCCATGTGGCCGCCGCCGCCGCCCGAGGGCGACACCGGTGGCGACGCTGACGCCGCGACCCCGTAAATCTTTGTCAGCTTGCTCGTACTCGTGAAATTTAGCCGGAGAGGGATGTCCAAAGAATCGGTGGCGGCGCCGTACGCCGACCCCGCGCCTTCATCCGACGGCGCACTGCCACGGCGCGCCGGCGGCGGCGGTGGAATTGCGGTCAGCAGCGTCGGCTTACCGCTGCCCAGCGGACGCGACGGATCCGGTGGCGCGGCGGCGGCCGCCGCCGCCGCCGCCGCCAGTCCCGGATGTGACGGCGCCGCTGCCGACGCAGACGTGGAAGCGCCCCGCGGAGGGCTACTGGCGCAGCGGGGCCCCTTGGGCGGCGACGGCTGAGGGGGACTGGGACGTGGCACCGGGGCGCGTACGAGCACCGGCGACGGCACCAACGACGGAGGCGCCGGCAGGCCGTTGCAGGCGCCGCCACTCCGGGCCGAGCTTGGCGCGCTCCCCCGGGATCCCACTCCGTACCCCGATGTGGCGTACGGCGACGACGGTCCCGCAAAGCCGCTGCCGCCGTTGCCCATCTCCCCGCGGGATGGCGGCGGAGCACCGTAGCGCTTCACGCTTGGCATTCGGTCCACAGCGTGCGTCATGGAGGTCGGTACGGACAGAGACTGGATGCGGGTTTCAAGTTCCTCTGAAATCCGATTGCCGTACACCTGAGGGGGTTGAGCCACAGGTGGCAATGGAAGTTATGTCCAAGAAACGAAAATGTTCATATCGCGCAGGTGGGATTTAGGAAAGGATTCAGAGATGGAAAACCGCAGGGAGGAGTAGGGAACTGAAGGAGGACGAGGAGTTTAGGGCGGGCATGGCAATCAAGTGCAGCGTGGTGAAGTGCAGTGCATGGCATGGCCGTGTCGGCATGGGCTCACGCACCTGCATATTAAGCCTGTTCTCTGCGGCCGCACCCAAAGCGTTGCGATTGCGGGCGAGAAGTGCGCTTGCAAGCGGTTCTAATCCGTAGCTTGTAAGGGAGTTGTAGCTGAGGTCAAGCTTGCAGAGCAGAGGGAGCTGCGGGAGAGCATCTGCGAGCATCTGTGGGGAAGAGGGGGTACCGCACGGGGGTATGGGCTTGCGTCAAATAAGGCGATCAATTATTTTGTGGAGGACTTCGAGACATATATAAATGATTACATAGCAGGCATAATTTGCATACGCGCTTCCTGACGGCTTGATGACCGTGGCTCATGTGCGAACAAGTGAACGCGAAGGGCATGAAAGTCAATGTATGCATAACAGTTCACACATACGGTGCAGTTACACATGCGATCAATGCTCAAAGCTCGCCGGAGTGGCCGAACGTCCTAACATGTAAAGCAAGAAGAAACGATGCCATCACCACACCCCCGATATAAAGCAACACGTCAAACTAAACGAAATTCATCATCATAGAAGAAACTACTAACGCTTGAGGAGAAACGCCACGCCTGGTCCTGAGGCCCGCAAAGCTGAACTCCAAACAAAGCTCGCCTGGACCCCAAGACTTACCCATCTCCAGGCTAAGCCAGGTATTTGTGCATACCCGGGAAAAAGGTTTCGTTGTCCCTCAAGTGTTCTTCACAAGTAATCTTCCGGTTTTGTTGAAACAGCCCTTTAGATAGATGTATTCTTCAGCCAAGATTAATCGCTCTCTAATGGGGTCTTGTATGCTATCCTGCCAACAGTTAGACTTTGCACAGGTATAAGGACTTTAGGCCGTCATCCCGTATCTAGGGATCATACGGTTCCATCATCCGTCTTCGGCAAAATCACATGCTGTAGACTTTTTTAACTACAAAGTTACAGCTATCATGGAAGCTAATTAATTGTTTCTTTCCATAAGGAAGTTTACTGCGGCGATGCGGTTGGTAATAACTTCCACCACGCTTCCTACCTCGTGTCGGTGTGCAATATGCCGTTTAGTAATCTTCTTCCTCCCTGCTCCCATATCCTTATGCAACTTACAAACCTGTAACCCTAACTGAATCAATGGAAAATCTTATTCCATATCCCCACTCCTGGTACGCTGTCCTGGTTTTTGAACTTCTGCTCCTCGCTGACCAACACACACACACACACACACACACACACACACACATACACACACTCTTTCGACCTCTCCCCTTCCCCTTACGTACAATGCGCGTGACCACCCACCCCCCGCAACTCGTTTCAGCTCGTCCCAGTTTTCCCCCCTCCTTCCCCACCTCAACGCTTCCCTCCTCCTCCAACCTCCCACTACCTTAAAACTTCCTTTCCAACCAAAAACGCTCTCCCAACGCCCCAAAACTCATGCAATCCTAGCCCCACCCATTCGCCCGCGGCCAGTGGGCCCGGCCACTCACCCTTGCGGCGTTATCCGTAAGGCCCACTCCGGACAGTGACAGCTCCACCAATCCGCGGTGTGACGTCAGCGCCTCCCCAAGCGCCCGACTGCCGACGGGGCCCACACCCTCCGGGGGGTCCCCGCCGCCTAGCCGCAGCACCGCGAGGGAGGTGTTGTGCAGCAGGGCGCGCGCTAGTCGGCGCGCCACCGTCATATCCAGCGGACAGCCCACAAGGCTGAGAACACGCAAGTTGGGGCAGGCTGGCGGCCCGTTCGACATTACTGACGACGCTGCCGACGGCGATGGCGGCAGCAAGGCGAGGCCCAGAAGGTGGTCCGCAACAGCAAACATGGCGCCGGCGTCGCAGGCGTAATTCAGGGAGACGTACGACAGTGACGGCAGCGCCGCCAGGTCGGCGAACAGCGCCGACGTGCCGTCGGGTGCAGGACTGCCGGATGCGGCTGCAGCTGCGGCGGCCGCGGCGGCGCTGACGCTGCCGTCGGAGGTGCCGCCGTTGCTGCTGCCGCCGCTGCTGCTGCTCAAGGAATTGAAATCTAACACGACCTGCTCCAAGTACGGCATGTGCCGTACAAACTCAGCTAGATGCGCGGCGTTGTGAGCGCCGATGCCGGCGTCAGTTAGGTCTAGAGAACGCAGCCCTGGAAGGAAAGCCGACTGCACGCCGGCGGCTCCGGCGTCGGAAGCCGCCGCCGCCGCAATGCGGGTCTCCAGCGCCGTCGCCGCCGCCGCCGCTGCGGCGTCGATACCCGTCTCTCTGCGACTATCACCAAATGTCGGCCTCCGACTTAGCGTGGGACCCATGGACGCCTGGACCCAGTTCGCTGAGACAGCGGAAATTGCGTGAGCTTGACGAAACGCAAAGGGATTCGGTAGCGGCGGTACGAGCGCCGTCGGGTACAGCAGACGGAGCAACGCGCGCGCGTCACGCGCCGCAGCCGCCGCAGCCGCCAGCGGACCGCCCTGCGCCGCCGCCGCGGCCGCCGCCGCGGCGGCGGCCCCAGTGCCCGCAACCGGCGCCGGCGGCGGCGGTTGCACGATGCCGTGCAGCCCCAGGTGCCGTATGCTGATGGAAAGGCTGACGGCGGCGCCCAGCGGCGCACCGGCTTCCTGGGCAAGCGAGTTACGACCCACAGAGAGGCTCGCCAAGCCGGGGGTCTCGGCACAACGACGGAGGTGGGAAAAAGCGGCATCCAATGCCCGTACTGCCGTACGCACTTCCGATGATTGCATCTGCGACTTGGGCCTGCCCTCCTCGGGCGGCGCCGCTGCCGCCTCAGACTGTACAGCATCCCATAGCTGCCGCAGCGCCTCCAGCACTGGTTGTACGACAGGATGCACCATTAAGCAGCCCAGCCCCGCCAGCCGGCTGGGCCCGCTATTGCCGGCTACTGCCGCCGCAGCCTTGCGCGCCGCTAGAGAGTGCGGTGACGAGAACGCCGCCGCCGCGGCGGCGGCGGCTCCGGGAGGCAGCATCAACCGCTTCACCTCCGCAGCCGCCGAGGCGGCGTCCATCGCCAGCCACGTCCGCAATAGCCCCTCCAGTGCCGTACCTGCCGTTGCGGCGGCGGCGGCCCCGACGGCCGTCGACGGGCGCGGCCGGTCCGCTGCCGCTAGCGCATCGTCATCCAGCCGCTCCGTCCAGGATCCATGTACGGCACCCATGGCGTCCTCGTTCAGGATCCGGCTCAGCGCCACCTGGAGCGCCTGTACGACCCACGGCGCCACGTCCAGCACGCCCGCCAGCAGCCCAAGCTCCTTGCCTCCGAAACCACACTCGTCAAGAACGAGGTGGCGCAGCGACGGCAAGCTCCCAGGTACGACGGCGCCCAGTAGCGCCGCACCTTCGGGGCCCAGCTTGTTCCCTGTAAGATCTAGCACTGTAAGATTCGCCAGCGGCTGCTGAACCGAGCCCGTTGGCTTTCCGCCGCCGCCGCCGCCGCTGTTCAGCACCGAAATCAACATCCGCAGCCCCACGCCATTAAGACCCGACCAAGCCAGCCGCAGTTCCTCCAAGTTATGAGAGTGAAGCAGTGCCGCCGCCAGGGAAGCCACGTTGCCGCCGCCGTGGACGTAGTGGCTGTACGGCGGGCTTGTCGACGGCTCCGCCGTCGATACGGTATGCCGCCGGCTCGGCGGCGGAGCGCGCAGCACGGCGCCGCTCAGGTTTAGAACCCGGGGTCCACCGCCCCAGCCAGGCTGTTTCGCCGCCGTCGCCAGCGCCGCCAACACCTCCGAGTCGACGGTGTTGCCCGTCAAGTCAAGCTCCTCAGCAACTGCCGTACTGCACCCGCTAGAGGCAACGGCGGCGGTGCCGTCGCCATGACGCTGCTGGGAGAGGAGCACCGGCAGCACCGCCAGCAGCGCGGCCTCGTCGAGCTGCGTACCCGCAAGGCCCACGTGAATCAGCCGCTGAGGACCCGACGCGCGCAATGACCGTACGAGCGCCGCTACCGTAGCGGTTCCCAGGCCCACGTTGCCGCTGAGATCCAGCGCCGTCACGCCGACCTTATAGTCGTGCAGTACGGCAATAGTCGCCGCCGCGCCGACGTCCGTCAGTGTGTTGCGGTCCAGACCCAGCGTGCGCAGCCCCGTGAGCGCGCCAGCGACCCCATCGACACCGCTGGCGGCGGCGGCGCTGCTGCTTGCACGCCGTACGATGACTTCAAACTCCTTGGTCAAATCATCATCAATGCCGTTGCCGCCCAACAGCAATGTTGTGATGGACGGACACGCCGTTATCGCCGCCAACAGGTCGACGGCGCCGCCAGTGCCCAGAGCACAGTCGCTCACGTCCACATACGTGAGCTTCAATATCGTCGTGGCAGTGCCGTACAACGGTGGCTGATGCCGCCGTCGAGGCGATTGCAGCTGCCCTCGAAGGAGTTGTTGCTGGTAGTGCTGCTGCTGAAGCTGCTGTTGAAATTGCTGCTGTCGCCGGGCAGCGGCGGCATGTGCACCGCAGACGTCGCGGATCATCGCCGCCACGGCGGCGGCGCCGCGAGGACCCACCAGTACGGGGCCCTGGCCGGCAAGGTCGAGGACAGTGGTGAGCGGCAGCGCGCCGCGCCGCGGCCGCGGCTTGCCGTCACGGTCGAACTCCCGCGGTTCCTCCTGCGCCATTAGCGGCACTAGCAGAGGCGCAAGGCCCTGCGGAGCCGACCGCAGCCAATCGGGCATGGTGGACAGCACCGGCCAAGATTCCAGCACCTGGAATGGTTCGATTTTACCAGGTTACATGCGGAGATCCGGATAGTATCAGCAGCAGGAGCAATAGTATCAGCAGCAGCAGTATCAGCAGCAGCAGCAGTATCAGCAGCAGCGGTAACGGAATCGGTAATAGCAGTGGCAACAGCAGCAGCGACAACGCGAGCAGCAGCACATGCACACGTCGTCTTGACAGCAGCCGGAGCAGCGGGTGTAGTAGAAGCGGCAATAACAACAGCAACAGCAGCAACAGCAGACAAAGCAAAGTGTGTTACTTGCAAAAGAGGCAAAAGAGCAAAAGAGGCGTCCGCAATGTAATGTAGTGTCGGCATGAAGTCTCCTTTTGAGGACAAGGTACAAGAAAAAGGCTTTCAGGGTTTGACCCCAGAGTTTCGAGCGGCTCCCTGTTAACGGGTGGGAATTCACGCACCGCCGCCTAAACTGATGCAGATTTAGATTCAGCTCCCCCTCGTCCGCCAGGTACACGAAAAGGACATAAGCATTATGGGTCCAGGGACCCAAACCCCATCTCACTCACACACTCACACACTCACACACTCACACACTCACACACTCACACGCACACTCACACTCACACGCACACTCACACTCACACTCACACTCACACTCACACTCACACTCACACTCACACTCACACTCACACTCACACTCACACTCACACTCACACTCACTCTCACACTCACACTCACGTCCGCGCCATCCACCGCGCGCAATACCACATGCTTCGCACTGCACCATCGTACTACATACACACAGAGCCACACAGAGCACCGTACACCACGCTGACCGTACGACGTACCTGCGTGACTCTCTGGATCCAGTTGTCGTGCCAATTGTACGGCTTGTTGCCCAGCCGACCCCGCCGTAACGCCTTCTCCAGACCCTGAAGCGAGTGAATATGCCCCTCCTGAAGAGACGGCAGCCGCTTAGCCAGCCCAGCCACACGGAGCACCTCCCTTAGCCGCTTCTCCTCGGACTCAGAAGAAATCGGGCTGCGGCCCTTGACCCCACCGGTGCTGCTGGCGCCGCTGCCGGCAACGCCATCACCCTCCGCTGGATTCTCAACATCCTCCGATACCCTCGCCGCCGCCGCCGCCGTCGCCGCCGCCGCCGTCAACCCCAGCATCGTCACTTGACGTATAATTTCCCTCTGGTATCCGTCGAAGCCATCTGTGGGATGGTGGGAAGGGAACGGAAAGGTTAGAGACCCGTGGGTCATGTCCCATGTGGTCAATGAGGCTAGAAGTGCGCAGTGTAGGGGTCACGAGGCAGAGCGCCAGCAGCAGTGGCGGCGGCGGCGGCGGCGGCACGACGGCCATCGGTGATAGATCAATGTGGTAGCGCCTGTTGCGGTACACAATCGGCATTACCAGTCGTGTGTCCGTGGTGAACGAAGTGGCCCTCCGAGGGACGCGTAGGCGTCCGAAGAGACGCTCGCGCCCAGCAGGTGGCTAATTTAACCTGTTAGTTACAGTACTAACGGTAACTAATTGTACGACAGACCCAAACATTCCATGGGGAAAAATGAAGAACCCCAAAGAAAGACACTTTGCAGGGAGGGGCTGCGTATCGTACATGTTAGATGTTGTACACTGACTGTTGGCGAGCAACATGTGCTCCCCCCCCGCAATGGTTCCGTCAGGGGCTGCGGGAGCTGGCTGCCGTACAGCTTACGTCAGCAGAGGAAAGAAAGTACATGGATAAAAAGTAGCATATTCGCGGTGGGAACGAATGGCGCAGCAGGTTCATCGGAAGGCGATCTCACCGCCGCCCTTAAACACCCAAATGGGATGTGCGCGCGCAACTCGGTTGAGCTCCGCAAAGGTCCACGCGTGCTCTCCAACACTGTCCAACGTCAGATCGCGAGCGGCCAGCAATGACGGCAACGGGTTTTGCCCACAGTACGACGCGTGTACGGCTGCCAGCAGTGGCTTGCCGTACTGGAGGGCAAATTTGATCTGGAAAATGGACAGGGAGGCGGGAAGGGAGGGCCCCGCAGAGGGCGAAGGAGGGAAGTGGAGGGAGCGAGAGGGACATGCAGTGGGGGGGGGACGTTGAGTTGTGTATTTTCGTTGTGGTGTGCACGTGGGTTATGAGGCCCAACATAAATGACGCTAAATGACGTAATTAACATCGACGAGGCGCATAGGGGCCAGGTGTGTGTGAGGAGTGTATGACTCTCTCACCTTCCCGCTTCCCCTTTTTGTTTAGGGGGCCGTACGACCCTGCGTCGGCCTCCCAATCATCGAGTGTATTTTGTATCGTGCCTACGAATGCATGTGTTTTGGGCCGCCGTGTTTTTTTCCTTGTATGCGTGTATATGTGCATGCGTGTATGCATTATTATGTTGTTCGTGGTGCAAGCGCCGGCGTCTTCGTAGCACGAAAGACATACAGACGTACGCAACTGGCACCCCCCCAAGCCGATCGCCACAGTCAGCCAGAAATGAGGGGCGCGAGTCCTCCCCTCCCCTCCCTTCCCCTTTCCCCCCACCACTTAAGCACAAACACAAACACAAACACAAACACAAACACAAACACAAACACAAACACAAACACAAACACAAACACAAACACAAACACAAACACAAACACAAACACAAACACAAACACAAACACAAACACGAACACGAACACGAACACGAATACACACACCTCCTTAAGGGCCCTATTGCCGGGAGGTTTGTTTGCCAGGGCATGGTAAAAGCCAGGAGTCACCAGCATCACCACACAGCAGCTGTCGCGGATGAGAGCTTCCACGTCGTGCAGCTTCGATCTGTGCTTGGCGTCGTTCACGACCGGTAGCCCCATAGCTGTGAGCTCCCCCGCGAGCGCGACACACCAATCAGTGCCCTCTGGCCATTTGCACGAAAGGAAGGCCGGCCGGCGCGGCGGCTCCGACTCCTCTTTTTTCGGTAATTCGTGCTGTGTATAAAGTGTTGCTGGCTCCTGCAGTTGCTCATCAGCAGCTGCGTCGAGTGTATGTCGCGCATCGTCGCCGGTTAATGACGGTGCTCTTTCATGAAGAATATCTTCTTCCGCCATTATTTTTTACAGTTGGTTACTTAGTGATAATATCGAGTAGTTTGCATGTAGTTCTTCGCCCGCCTAGTGGCGTTACCACTAGAGGGTTTGCATGGAGGGCTGAGTAGTCCAGGCCATGGTCTACGTCATGCTTGCAAGCCAGTAACATTACGTTTTGAGGTAAATTCTGTATCGCTGCGGCAAACACCTAGTCTGAGTGAATGCCTCGACAAAACATATATATCGTACAGGTATCGCAAAACGGCAGCAGTTCCGCGCAGTAAGAATCTTTCAGAGAGCTCATGGCAAGTTCTCCATTTATAGTATGAAAAATACCGTCTTATATGGGTACGCGAAGGCCGAGGAGGCAGGTAGGGAGGCAACCTACGACGGTCAGTAAAGGGCCTCTCCTTAACTAAAAGTCGACGGGCTGAGTCGCCGTCGTGGGTCATCTACGCAAGCGCATCCCGGGGACCAAATATTCATTTAACATATGTGTAAATACTGTGCGCCCGTGTCATTTTTCCATTCAAAGATTTTAAATTACTCTTTTGAGTCCATGGCCTGACGCTCGGCACGCACCCCGCGCCCTCCTCTTATCGGTAAGGAATAAATAAACCAAAACCTACCACTCGGCTTCTGTTAGGCAACCTAAACGCTTAACACCTATTTTAAGAAAGCCCTGTTACAATCACAAGTGGTAAAGATGAAAAACGTAAAAGTACGCCAGAACGACGTGACGCACGAGTAAGGAGCGGATTGTCCTGAAAGCAAAACTGTCGCTCCATTTCTCCCCAAAAAAATTCCCCCTCACGCTCGCCCGCCGTCTGCTCGCCACCGCCATACACAGCCCAGCCGAACACACATGCACACACAGCGCAAACCCCCACAACATATATCTATATTGCATTGCCATAACTACGCTTCGCAGCTTTTAACGCGAAACGTTTGTGTTTTTTTCGTGATAGCGCAGCTCTTTTGTAATAAAAGGTACCGTAACCAGGCGACGCCGCAGCGTGCAGGGTCCCGGCTCCCCCTGTGCCTCTTTCTCCACCACCTCCTCCGCGACCAGCCCCTGGGTTGCAATCACTACTTACACACACCAGCAGAACGCCACCAGGTACCGAAGTACAAGGGCCGCAGGGCGACGATATAGTCCCTAAAGTGGTGGTTTGCAGGGGAGACCTGGGGAGGGGGGAGAGGGGGGAGACGGGCGAGAGGGGGGAGAAGGGGGGAGAGGGGAGAGAAGGGGGAGACGGCAGGCCTACATGAGGGACATCGGAAAGGGCCGCCCGCTAACGCCGTGTTTGCTTTCATGAGTCCGGGCTCCAGCCGCCATTAATGAATCAAAAGCACCGGCGTTGCTACTCCGCTAAGCTGTGAGCCCTCACTACTTAATCAGCCATTTGACTGAATGATCCTGTCGGCGGCTGGCAGCAGTCATCCAGCCATCTAGCCATCTAGCCGGCTCCCGCCGGGGCGGAAAACACGCGGGAGGCTAGGACGGCACTGCCAGTCCAAGTGCGGAATCCCCCAAGCAGGTGTTCCTTAAACTGCGGTCGTGCAGTCAGCCGTTGTTGGTTAGAGTTACCGTTTGACGCCTTTACCCGTACCTCTACCCGTACGACGGTGACGACGCCGACGCCGTAGGTACACATACACCTCGCCCTGTCGGAATGGCTTTGCGCTGGCCAAGGCAAACGGCGTTTCTGTTTGTATTGAAGATATCAAATTTCTCGAAATTTATATTTTATTAAACTGCTATTTTTGCTGGTTATCAGACTTAAGACGGGAACCCTCAGTCAGGAGCGAGTCGTCAGCTGTTTCCACAAACCGAAGCAACCGAACTCGACTTGCGAGCAAGAGCTCTCAGAGTAGCGCACAAGCAACGCGAAATCCCTATGCTATGTAACGAGCATCGGACGAGAATAGTCGCGGCAAATCCCGTCATCAGTTATGCCGTACAATGTACGGCGGCTCTACCGCGGCTGCGCATGCGGGCAACGCGGGATTTGTTTAGGAAAGAGGCCCTCCCGAGACTCCTCCCGCCCCTTTCCTGCACAAATCAAAACACATGATCGACATCCCCACACCCACGCGTCGGGGCAAGGAAGCGATACACGACGATACACACCCCGCTGCGGCGGTTAATACGTTTTATGTTTCAAAGTAAGGAAGCAAGTGTCATATGACAGGAGAACCTGACATACGGACATACGGACGACATAGGAGGAGGAAGAACACCACTATCCTTGACCATACCCCGTGTGCCCCTGCTTGAATATTAAATAAATTCGAGTACGGACCCAGCTCGACCCGGCTTCAGTGGCGAGGCGGGGTGGGGCCGGGGTATACCACGAGCCCACACGACCACAAGCACTAGCATCCAACTTCCTTCACCTGCCTTCACTCCCCGGCTCGCCTCCGTACAACACTCCGGTTTCCAAAGCAGCAACAGCCGCAGCAGTAGCAGCAGTAGCAACAAGAGTAGCAGTACTGGCAGTACCACCATCCCATAGAAGCCAGCCAGCCTACCCAAAGCAAAGGCCAGCAAAACCAGCAGGCGGTGCGCTCTCCCTACCGCCGCCCCTTACCACCCTTACGCCCCCTCCCCCTCCCCCTCCCCTTCCCCAACCCCGCTGAAGCTCCCCCCGGGCCACCCGTGCCGCCGCCCTTCGCCCCCCACTTCCTAGACACCACAGCTCCGCCGCCGCCACCTCCGCCGCCGCCGGTGCCGCCGCCACCGCCGCCGCCTCCGCCGGCTCCCACGCCGCTTCCAATCGCCGCCATCCTCGCGCGCAGAGCCTCCAGTGCGTTCGGCGCCGCGGCGTCGCGTCCAAAGGCCTGCGGGATGACCACTAAGCCCCTGTGGTGCTTCCGCTTCATTTGGTTGCGACTCACAAGCAGCTGCTGATCTACACGGCGGCCGCCGCCGCCCTTGTTTGCCTTAGCCGCAGCAACAGCAGTAGCAACAGCAGTAGCGCTAGTCACAGCGGCAGTAGCAGTCGCGATTTTCTTCCCAAGCTTCTTAGCTCGGAGTTTCTTAGCCTTGGCCGCCTCGACGGCGGCGGCTGCGACCTGGTGGCTCTCATGCAGCTTGGCAGCGAGCGCCACGGCCTTTGGTACGGCAACAGCTGCGGCGGCGGGCACGGCGGCGGCGGCGGCGGCGGGGCCCGATGCTGCCTTCCTCCCAGTTGCCGCTGCAGCGGCAGCGGCGGGTTCTTTAACGCGTGTCGCCACAGCGGCCGCCAGACCGCCCGTGAAGAACCTGCCATAAGGCCCCCCGACATATACCCCCCCCGCGGCACACACACGCAAAAACACACACAGACACATGAAAAACAAGGATGGGGGGTTAGGCTTAAGGACTGCTTCAAGACCGATATTTAAACGGGGCTTTCTAAAACTGGTGGCTCCTTCGGTCGTGCCTGCGGCACTTTGTCGCAAATACCCCCGAACGGTTTTTACAACCAACGGAAAAGAAGATCAACATCTCGACGTCTCAACATCTCGACGTCTCAACCAACAAACAGCGAAAAGCAGGCAGCCCACTGGGGGTGGAGCACGTTGGCGCCGTATCCGCAACCTACACCATACACCCACCTTCTACCCACCTACTAACCACTTCCACACCAACCCCCATATACTCTCGTCCACCCACTCGCCTAACCCACCATCCCTCCCTCCCCCCTCCACCCACCTTCTATTCATCCGGGGTGCAAGTGGCTCAGCCAGCAGCGCCGCCAGTTGCTGACGTAACGCCGTCGCCTGAGCGCTGGGACGAGCATGACGGCCATTGCGGAGCCGCTTACCGCCGCCGCCGCCGCCACCCTCATCGTCATCTTCGTCGTACACTGCCCCGCCGGCGTCGTCATCACTGACGTCCAAACCCATAGCCTTAGGGGGCGGCAGGTAAAGGGGGGGGGAGCGGCAGGGGGAAGGCTGTTAGCAAAAAAAGTGGCCCCAGTGGGGGTAATATACGCCGGGGAGAAGGGGTGTGTGTGTGTGTGTGTGTGAATGTCTGTGTCGCAAACAAACCGTACTTTGTGGTCATGTGGTTGGCATTGTCAACGGGGGAATGTCAAGTGGCGAGTAATGACAGTACTCAGGGCCAATCGTTAGAAAGAAAATGCCACCAACACCAACGCCGCTTCCGTCCGACCACAACTCTTCCTCCTGCGTACCGCATCGTACTTTGCCGTACTCTTTGCCGTACCTTGGCATTCGTCCGGCGCCACGCCTCTTCCGCCCGCTGTTTCCGCTCCTTGCGTTCAATCTCGTCCAACCGAATCGCCAGCCGTACACGCGCGCGAACCTTTTATAAAGCCCCGGGGGAAAGAAGGGGCCGTAGACGTTATTAGAAAATGGACACTGGAAAAACCCAGACTGTACGACCCACTGATGTCGTACTTTCCCCCAACACGGACAGCAGCATTTACGGACAAACACATAGGCACATACACACAGGCACACACACATACACCCCCCTACCTGCGGCATGAGCGACTGGTCGATGGGGAAGGAGGGCGGGGGCTCCCTGCCCAGCACTCTGCCCAGCCCTGCGAACCGGGCCGCCTCCGCGGGCGACACCAGGGCGATGGAGATGCCGTCACCTTCCAAACCGCGGGCTGTACGACCACATCTACGGCGGTTAAAGTAGTTGGGCGGTTGGGGAAGCTGAATTGTTTGGGAGCTTGGGTTTCGCAGGGGAAGGGGCCATCTGCCTTTCTGGGTGACGTTTGTTAGTTGGGGGTTTTGTTAGTTGCGGGTTTGGGAGGTACGTGTGCATGTGTGTATATGTGTGTGTGTGAGAGAGAGAGAGACGCGCAAAGCGATGCACTCACACCCACGACCAACACAAGTCGTAAATTTTCACCGCAGACATCCGCCCTCCTCCTCCATCCCCAACACCCTTTTATTACATACCACACCGCCGTTCCGCCCACGTACCATAAGTACCCCCCCACACACACACTTCCCTTCCCCCTCCCGTTCCCCACCTGTGGATGTACGTGTCGGCTGACGCGGGCAGCTGGTAGTGTACGACAGTCGTCACTCCCGGGATGTCCAGACCTCTGGCCGCCACGTCAGTAGCCACCAGTACGGATTGCGGCTGTGAACGGAATCGGTCCAGAGCCTGTGGAAAGGTGTCGTACAGGAGCGAGAGGACGGATGTGTATGTATGTATGTATGTATGTATGTGAAGATTACCAAACATGCAGTGCAGAACTGCCGTATAGGTCACGTCGTGAACGTCCGTGGTAGCAAATCAGGCAGGAAGGTAGGGGAAGCGAGCGGGGGCGGGGTAGGCACCACCACCACTATCACCGCCACCACCACCCTTGTCACATACCTTCAGCCGTTGCCGCTGCTGCTGCTGGGCATGCAACGCCAGCGCCGGCAGCCCAAGCGCCTTCAGGAGCGCTGCAACTCGGCGAATGGCAGACACGGCATTCGCAAACACAAGTGTACGGCCGGGATGTACGGCCAGGAGGTAGTACAAAACCTCGTCGCGCTCCGTGTCCAGGCAGTTCACCTGTGTTCGCATGTGTGTGTGTGTGTTTTCAAAAAGGGAATCCAGGTTGACTATGTGCGTGGGGAGGGTGCAAGTTCAAAAAAAGGCTAAATTTCCAGCTAAAAATGGCTCTCTAGATTTCGAGCGCCATGTTGATGTTGGTAACAACATGAAGAAGCGAAGGGCCGACTACACCCAAAATAGTACACGGGCAAGAAGGGGTAGGAGGGGGCAACTAAGGATATCGATACTGTACTGCTGTACTGCTGAAGATGGAGAGACCGTCGTACAGGTCCAAACCCAAGACCCTCATTCTCACCGCCGCCTCCGCTACTCGGTCTGCCAGCCGCCGCTGCGGAGTCAGGTCCACCACCCGGGGCGGCGGCGATGTACGGAAAGGAACCCGGTCCATAAGCGACTCCAGGGTGGCGGCGCCGCCGCCGGCGCCGCCGCCGCCGCGACGGAGACGCTTCTTGAGGAAGAGCGGTAACGTCAGTGTCGCCGAAAACACAAAGGTCTGCAGCAGATGCTTCTTGCCGCGCTGCTGCTGCTGCTGCTGCTGCTTGCCGCTATCATCATCGCCCCCGCCCTCGCCACCTTCCACTTCCTCCTCCTTCCCCTCCTTCTCAATGTCTACAGCCCCTTCCTCTCCTTCCTCCTCTCCTTCCTCCTCCCCTTCCTCCTCTCCTTCCTCCCCTTCCTCCTCTCCTTCCTCCTCCTCCTCCCCCCTCTTCTGCCCTCCTTGCTGCCGCTGCTGCTCCTGCTTCATCCGCTTCTCTCGCCCCTCCTTCTCCCGAGCCGCCCTCAGCTGCTCCTCGAACTCCGGATCGCACGTGGTCTCCCGCGCCATGGTGGGGTGGGGCAGCCGCTCCAGGATGCTGCTAAGCTCCTGGAAAGAGGGTGAGGGTGAGGGGGAAGAGGTTGGAGACCCGGTGCGTGTGTATGGGCGAGGGGAGGGAGGGCGGGACGAGGGGGGCATGGCGCGGTGCGGACTTACGGGCGTGAGAGAGGGTGCGTGTGTGCGTGTGGGTGATGGTTGAGTGGCGGGTTCGCCCTCTGCCCGCGCCAGCACCTCCCCCTCCCCCCCCAGTTCCCTTCCCGTCCCCCCTCACCTTGTAGTGCCCCTGCGCCACCATTCTGTCCGCCTCGTCCAGGACGAGGAAGGAGAGGTGAGTGAGGTCGGCGAGGTGGGCGGCGGCCCGGGGCCCGTGGCGGTCTGTGGAGGGGGGTCTGGGGGCCGGGGGGGTGGGGGGGAGGGAGGAGGGGTGAGACGAACCACTGGCGAATGAAGCAGATACCGGAAATAGACGGATAGGGGTGAGGAAGGAGGGGGGTAGGGGGCAGAGAGGAGGGGGGAAGGAGTGAGGAGGGGGGGGTGTATTGGCGGGAGTGAAAGAGAACAACGGCGGACGAGGGGGTGTCCACTCAGCTGCGACCAAGACACGACCAAGCACATATGGATGTGTGCCCACATGCATACATACATACATAGCTGCGGAGGTCTTTCCTTTAGGTCAGGGCTAGCTGGTCGGCGGGGGGCGATGTAACGCCCGCATCCACACACACACGCGTTCACACGCTTATGCGTTTCTACACGTCCAGCTCGGCTCCTCGCCGAGTAGCGCCAATCCCTCCAACAAAACCGTCACCCCCCCGCTACACCCCACCCTGATGTTGTATTGTGGGCTTTAGATCCAGATTTGGATTTGGGTTTTTACACTCGACCCCTTTCCCCCCCCTCCCCTCTCCCCCACCTGCACATGAGGTCCCAGAGTCGCCCTGGTGTGGCCACCAGTACGGCAGGTCGTGCCGCCAGCAGCCGTGCCTGCTTGACGTCACTGATACCTCCGACAATGGCCGCCACTCGTACCCCGCAGACGCGACCGATCACCTGGAGGTGGCTGCACACCTGGTGCGGGGGGGCGGATGGGTTGGGTTGGTTGGGTAGGTGGTTGGGTAGGTGGTTGGTTGGGTTGGTTGGGACTCATATAATGATGGTGATGATAGTGGTGGTGGTGATCACGGCGGTGGTGGTGGCGGTGGTGGTGATGATAGTGGTGGTGGTGGCGGTAAGTGGTGGTGATAGTGGTGGCGGTAAGTGGTAAGGGCGAAAGGGAAAGGGTTACCCGACGACGGCGGCGTTCGGGGCGGGTTGGATTGGCTGAGAGGAAATCCATGAAACACAAATCACAACGGGAACAACGGAAAGACGTTTAAAGCAACGGCCTTTCCCCGAGGGATCCAAACTGCGCGGAGAATTCTTCGCCCGGGGGATTTAGGGTTTTAGGAGGGCCGCCGCCGCGTCATCACCACCACACTAGACACCACACCGCCTCTCCAGCCCATCTAAACCCAAACCTGAATGGATCGGATCCAAAACCAGATGCAATTCCGGATCCAATTTTTTCATCCGCACCTGCAACGCGAGCTCGCGTGTGGGTGTCAGGATCAGCGCCCGCAGCGGCCCGGGTTGCGGCGCAGGGCCCATCGGCACCTGGCGCTGCAGCTGCTTCCCCCGCTGCTTAGGGGTTTCCACCACTCCACGCTTCTCCCTCTGAAGCTGCAGTCGCTGCGCCTTCTGCTGCCGCTGCTGCTGCTGCCGCTGGCTCTGCCGCCGCGCATGCTTCTCCATCCCCGCCTCCTCCTCCTCCTCAAGCTCCTCCTTAGCTACCCCCCCTGAGGTCCCCCCTTCCTCCCCTTGTCCCTCCTCCTCCATCTCCTCCTCCTCCACCACCACCTCCTCCACTGCAGCCTCCTCCTCCCCCTGTCCCTCCTCCTCCACCGACCCCGCCTCCATGTCCATGTCCGCGGCCGCAGCGGCAGCCCGCTCCGCCGCCAGCTTGTGCATGATGGGCAGCCCAAACGCCAGCGTCTTGCCCGAGCCCGTTTGAGCAGCGCCGATGATATCGACACGGGCGCGGATGGCCGGGTGCAGGCACTCCCGCTGGATGGGGGTCGGGGAGGTAAAGCCACACGCCGCCAGGCCCGCGAGCACGTCGGGATGCAGCTCGAACTCCGCCCAGGCGCTGAGATCCAAATCCGCCTTGCTTGGATTTACTGAATCCTGGCGACGTTGCAGCAGCAGCGGCCGCTCCGGAACCGGCTCCGCCTCATCCTCTTCCTGCTCCATCGCGGAATCCGAATCCATGAGCTCATCATCATCATCATCATCATCGTCATCAATACCATTAAACTCATCGTCATCAACCTCGCCTTCGTCCTTGCCCTCGTCTTCATCGTTATCGCTGCTGTCAGCCGCCCCATCCGCATCGTCCTCTTCTTCTTCGTTCCCATCCTTTCCCCCTTCCTGAGCAGTAGCAGCAGTAGCAGCTTCGCGGCGAGATGGCTTTGCCGCTGCTGTCGCCGCCCCCTGCGATGTGGGACCCTGCTTCGGCTGTCTCGCGTTTGTCTGTCCGGCATCGGCATCCCCCGCGTCAGCGGCACGGCTGTCGTTGTCATGATCGTCATCATCGCCGTCGTCGCTGACGTCAGCTCCGGAACCAGAACCATTGCCATCGGCACTACCACCCGCCAACCGCTGTAATCGTCGTGCCTTCCGCCGCGCCTTCTTCGCCTTCAATCGTTCCCTCTGGCGCTGCTTTCGCTCCTCCGCGGCGGCGGCGGCGGCAGCCGCCGCCGCTGGGTCCTCCACCGCCTCTTCATCCCCTCCCTTGCCTGCGGCTGCCTTCTCCTTCTTCTTCTGGGCCCCCTCCCCAGCACTATCGCCGCCATCGCCGCCATCCGGCTGCTCTAAGCCCTCCTCGGAATCCCCGTCATCATCGCCATCACCGGCGTCGTCGCCGTCGCTGGCAGCGCCTGCGTCGTCCTTGTCATCATCATCATCCCGGGCCCCTTGATTTTCAACCATGTAATGACCCAGTACGGCAGGATCTTCCAAGATTTCCAGACCCGCAAAGCCGCCCTCTTCCGCGCCCAGCAGGAAGTCGTCGCCGATCTCGACTTCCTGCCAGCCCGGCAAGCTGTCCCAAAAAGCGACGCCACGCTTGCGTCTCTTCTTAGCAGGGGCTTCAGCGTCCGCTAACGCCGCCTCGGCGGAGGCAGCAGCGGGGTCACGGCGGGCAGGAGCCCTGGTGCCGCGTGTGGTGCTGGCGGCAACCCTGGGACCGCGATCGCGGCCACGGCCGCTGGGGCCTTGCTTCGTCGAGCCTTTGCGTGGCTTAGTGGCCGGAGAGGCTTTCGGTGAAGGGCCAGGGTCAGCAGCATAAACGTCGTCGTCGCCGGCCGCTCGGGAACCGCGTGTAGCGGCGTTCACACGCTTAAGCTTACGTCCGGATGGCCCGCCGCCGCCGGCAGCGGGTGCCTTCCCCGGCATTCCGACGGGCTTAACAGCAGCGAGCTAAAAAGGAACGTCGTTGATTTGCGTCTCCAGTTGGACCTGGCTCAATTACGCGTGTCCAGACGACCCAACGTTTCGCAATTTACGGTAGCAGTCTTTTCGGGGCTTCGGCTAATCCCTTTCATAGTATGCCTGGAACAACAGATTTATACCATCGTGTGACTGGTACTTTGTAATGCGCTAAAAACTTTCCACAGGCCATGGAATAGCAATCGATGCAGTATTGATACGGCGATGTCGTTATATCCTGAATAGGGCATAATTAGCAACATTCTGCTTGGCCGAAATAGACCTTATGAACCAATAAACGATAATTCATGTAGCGACGGTGTAGGCCTAGCCTAAATATTTACCGATAATGGCACGCTCTTTCTGGGCTGCATCGACTGCTTTGCCAATCAAGCTTGTAACACAAGCCCTGTTTCCTTCCAGCATGGTGGGGCTGACTGGATTTGTTTGCCGCTGCAAGGGTACCGGTCATCAGTACCGCAGTCTCCGTCTTTCACTGACCTCAGGCATCACCTTCCCTACTCTGGCATGCCGCCGACGGACTATTTGAGCTCCGCCAAGTATCGTCGTCATCCAGGATATCAGTTACGAAGCGCGGTCAACTCTTGGAGGAGTTTGCCGATCGGCTCCCGGACCGTCTGCACCCCGATGACTTGGACTATCTCGTAAAGCACCTGGAAGGGGTTCCACCGCCGACACGGGCTGAATATCCCAACGCTACCTCACAATGCGGTGAGAACCGGCGTGGCAGGGCTTGACCGACTCTGCTGGTAGAGTCTGCCCCACGCCGAACTCCTCATATAATGTCAACATAATCAACCGCAGTTTAATAACGTGATGCTGCACAAGCTTAGGCACAAAGGGTAACTCCACTAATAGACACTGTTGACTTCGTGTCGCAGGCGCAAACATGTCTGGGGACAAGCCAGATGCTGCTGCCTCTCACGGCCGCAGTACCGCGGCGAACGGCTCCAGAACTGAGCACGGAGGCTCTTCGAAAGCAGCATCAGGCCCCAGGCGCACACATAATACTAGCACCACCACCACGACCAAGAGCCCTGACAGCAACAACAGCTTCAGCGGCAGCGCCGGCGGCAGCGCCGGCACGGGGCAGGGCACAGGCCGTAGCCATAGCACCGCGGCCTCGGCCACCTCCGCCTCGGACACTTCCTACACCGCAGCCCATGATGATGCCTGCAGCGGCAGTACAAGTAACAGCAGTGGCACCAACAGCAGCCGTCGTCAGGGACGCCACGACGCGTACGATCATGTGTACGACGACGAGTACAACCATCTCCACAACATCATATTTGAGCGGCTGCCGCAGCGGACACACGGCCGCGGCCGCAGCCATTCCCATGTCCGCGTGGAGCTTCACGGCTACGCTGTGGAAGAAGGCGCTGAAGAAAACCCATTTCGCGGCCATGGAAATTGGTCCAGTAGCAGCAGTAATGGCAGTAGTAGTAGTAGTAGTCGCTGGCGGTATGCAAGTCCGCCGCATCATCATCATCAGACCGCGGGACCCGGACCTGATCTGGGTCGTGGCAGTTACCGCAGATCTCGCAGCTGGGAACGTGCATGGTCGCCGTACGAGGTTGAGGACGAGGGTGGTGAATGGGGAAGGACCGGGAGGCGTGGAGGAACAATCTACAGTAGCCGCCGCCGCCGGCGCGCCGGCAACGGTAGCGGCAGCGGCGCCGGCGGCTGCAAGTACGATGCAATAGGGGATGAGGATGAGGGAGAAGGGGGCGAGTGGGTGTTTGGTGGGGGCCAGAATTCCCATCTGAATCATCGGACCCATCAGGCACAACGCCGTAGCGATGACGGTTACCAAGATTGCGCTCAGCAACAACAGCAGCAACAGCATAAGTACCATCATACGCAGAAGCAGCAGCAGCAACAACAACAGCAGGCGCAACGGCAGCATACACAGGAGCAATGGCAGAGGCGGCAGCTGCAGCAGCAGCAGAGGCAAAATCAAGCGGAGGGTGACCGCACAAGGCGACGGCGTGAAGATGCGACAACATTCCGAGCGCACCAAGAACAACAACAGCCGCAGCAGCAACCTCCACAGCAGGGCGAGCGCCGACAGGGCAGGCGCGGTGTAGCGTGGTTTACCAAGCGCTGGCGGAAACATTACGTTAGCTATGAGGAGTATGCAGAGTTCATGTCGCAAGATGGTGAGGACCGGCGGTCGTCTTCGGAGCCGTTGGAGTACGGCAGCGGCGGAGGCCGGAGCCGCAGCAAGTTCTACCAGTCCGCATATGATGACGACAGGTAAACCGGGGGGAAAATATCATCGTGAGGGGGGGATGCGATATACACTAGTTGTGGTGGAGTTGGTAACCAGGAAATGGTGTACAGCTTGAACTTGGATATGATGTTTACGTGTAACTGTTTGCATCGCGCGTTCTAGGAAAGGGTGACGAAGGGGCGCAGAAAGTTGCCGGTAGTTTCGGCGCTCGGAGGCTTGCAAAGGTGTGCAGATCAGCATGGGTGATATGGGGTGTATGGGTGATATGGGGCTGGGGATCTGGGGACACGCCCGTTGCTACGTGCGTACCCCTGTCCGCAGCCGGAAAAAGGGGATAGTGCGGATCATTCCCGGGATCACCGAAAACCACGTAGTTTCTGGCGTTACGTGTACGTTCAAATATGCAAATGCATGCCGTCACACACCAGATTTTTTTAATCTAGCTTTTGTGAGCTCCAAAAGTTCCCACATTTGCCTGCTCAACAACTCCCTGTCCAACAATGCGCTTTCGGCCGGTCCCTCAAACGATCCCCCCCACGAGCCGCTGGGTTTGTCTTGCTCTCTTCGCATCATATCGCCACATCTACGTCCCTAGCGCACTCTATATGCGTCGTTCATCTCTCCTCTCCCTCCGCTTATCCCTACATGCTGTGTCCCCATTTTCTAGGGACTGGTTCTCGCAGTTTTGGAGCTACAACGGTGCAGCAGCCAGCGGCAGCGGCTTCACCAGCGGCGGCGGCGGCGGCAGGCAGTCCGCACATCCCCGGTCCGCGGAGCAGTTCACGGCGGAATGGTGGCAGCGCTTCCAGGCCGCAGCAGCCGCTGGAGGCTCCGGAACCGGCGCTTCTTCCTCGTCATCTTCTTCTTCTTCTTCGTCATCATCTTCAGCTGGCGGCAGCGGTAGCAGCAGCAGCGGCCGCAGCTACTTTCACCACCAGAACCAGCAGCAGTCGTACGGCGGCGGTGGCGGCGGCCAGCGATCGCAGCAGCACCACCCTCCTGAGCTGCGTGCACATATGACGGTGCTGGGGTTGGAGGTGGGTATGGCCCTGGATGCGGCGGCGGTCAAGGCGGCCTTCCGTGCGCGTGCCAAGGAGACGCATCCAGATCTGCACCACGGAGCGGACGCGGCGGTGCGCGCGGCGGCGGAGGAGCGGTTCAAGGCGGTTCAGCAGGCGTACCAGGTCCTGAGCCGCGCGGTGTGCATGGCTGGTTAGGTCCCCGATAAGGATGATGAACACCACTCCCAACGGGGCACCACAGCCGGCATTTCTCCTACGTGGTGTTCTTTTTTTCTCATTTTGCTTTTCCTTGGGAAGCAGCTCTCCCTCTCTGTCTCTCTCCCGTGTTTTTCCTGCGCCGTGGCGTGGTTTGCTCTGTGTTTTCACGTGGCAGGAGTTTGGATAGCGAGCATGCGGAGGTAGTGATGGGCAAGGGTGAATTTGCTGCTCCTGCTAAGTATGTGTAGATGCGTGAGCTCCGCCTGCCCAGTAGCCGGTCGGCAACTGTCCTTATCTAGGTGCTAGCCAATAACGAGACGAGGTATTCACGCGGTCATTTATCATTCATCGTGTACAAATTAGCAGCTATGCTTCCTCGGTGAAGTATGTGTAGGGGTTTGCCACGTGCCCGCTGTTGCCGATTGCCGCAACAGGCAAGCACAGGGATATATGCGCTAGAGGGGAAGATCCCCAAAATAGAGGTGATGTTGCATACATAAAGCAGGGAGTTTTAGTTAGCATTTCTGTAGCAGGAATGGGCTGGTCCTGTAAGGAGCGGGGAAGGGGACGATGTGCTTGTGACATGATAATGTCAGCCAGGCAGCTCTCCCGCGGCATAATGATGTCGGTCTGCGTGTATATTTAGGCAGTCTGTGTGTTAGGACGGGGTCTTCCACGATTACACGGATGCTGTCGCGGGTATGGATGCGACCGCTGTAGGAGCAAGTAACGGCAGCATTCCTGGGACTTGCTTCCCTTCATGCTGCTGAGATGTCAAGCCATACTTGTTCCGTTTGAGAATCTGGTGCTTGCGTGTATGTTGGGTGGTATAACAAGTAGCTCGTGAAATATGTTGTCTCCCGTACAGCTCTGGATCTAGTTAGAACAAAAATTTGCGACTGGAAGCTTACAGCAAGTTCATCCAGATTGGATTTCCGTTAGCGCAGAGGATGCGTATGGAATTGCTTAAAAGCTCGTTGTCCGTGCTGCCAGCGGTTGGAAATGTCATCCGCAGCTTCACTAACAGGCGTTATGTGCCGCATTTTGCTGCTCACAAGCGTTGCATATAATGATACCAACCAAATTACATTGGAATTTAGCACGCCTCGCTTCGTCGCCCCAAGCTCCATGTTCTTCTGTTTTACAACGACAAGCATCACACTAACGGCCGATACCTTCACCATCCTAGAACTAAAGCAGGGCGGGACAATATTTACGGTTAACGAAAGCACAGAAGTGGGGCCATACAGTGATTTCGCGTCAACAAGTTTTTTCTCATCCGGCACCGGCGAGCTGAATGCCGTGGAAATCTCCACAGTCTACGAAGTGCTTGGAACAGACCCCTTCTACGGGGGAAGCTTTAAACTGCAGAGGTAGGTCTACGGTTCAGCCCATGGTTCCGTACAGTTGTACGATCCTGGGAAAAGGCCATGCCGGATTCCTACAAACGATCATCGACTTGACTCTGGTAACAAACAGCATTTCCTAGGAAAGCTTGATCCTCCCAAGTCGACACATCTTCACGGCGTTGTACGACGCAGGTACGACGACCTCGTTGTTGACCAGCAGGGCATCCCCATCCGCGGGGTGGCGGACTTCCCCGTCGACCCGGCCGCGCCACCCGGCGGCAGCGGTGGTGGACCTCAGATAGGCAACTGCTTCCTGCTCACAGGTTTGCATGTGTGTGAGAGTGCATGAGGGAGTGCATGTGTGTGCGTGTGTGTGTATGTGTGTGTATGATGTGGGCCTGGGGCAGGAACTGGTGAGGAGGGTACATGTGATGTACGACAACATAAAAGGCCGTGGAGACCAGGACAGGCTTTACTGCAAAAGATTCATAGCAGGGCAGGGAGGAGGGCATGTAATGTGTAACGATGCCATCATACGGCAAGACCAGGGCCGGCGGAGGGATGCGATTTCCGTAACCCGGCCGCCCCCAGCGACCGGGGACAGACCAAGGCAAGACGGGGGGGGACCATAACCCGCCAGGGCAGTGCGGAGACACCAGAGAAGGGGAGTACGGGAGGGTAGCACACACCTACAAATCTGCGGCAGAGCTGTACATGTTGGCCTTGTGCGTTGTGTGTGTATGTATGTATGTATGTATGTTCGTGTTGTTGTTTGCATGTATGTGTTTCGCAGGTTCCTGGCAGGCGGATTCGCGGTACCAAATGACTCTGAGGGTCACCAATCCGCTGCCGCCAACGCCCGCGGAGGTGCCGTACCCACCGCCGCCGCTGCCGAGCCCTTCGCCGCCGCCGCTGCCGTCGCCGCTGACGGACGGCACGGCGCCGCCGACGTCGCCACCGCAGCCCAGCCCGCCAAGTCCCGCTCCGCCGCCGCCGGGGCCGCAGTACATGTTGTACAGCAACAACGCGACGCCAATTCTGTGGGTCGCGCCCGTCACATACGAGATTGCAATGTCTGGCAACGGCTCCGTCACCAACACGCTGCTGTTCTCCGTACGCGGCAATAAGTACGGCGCCGCATGCCCGCTTCGGTAAGCAGTTTACGCAAGATAACTGCAGTGCCACTTTTGAAAAAGAGGCGGCCATCACCCCGGCCACGTGCGGCCGACCCCTCAAAATTCCACCCTTGATCCCCTCCGTGCCTCATGCTCGCGTTATTATGCCGTACAACAGGCCCGCCATTGTGCCGTACATGGGCACCATGTTTGACGCCTGCGCAGAGGCCTCGAAGCGGGGGCTGGACGGCAATGGAACCGTAACGGTGTGTGCGCTGGGGCAGAAGGGACGGTTGGGAGGCAGAGAGTTAAGGCAGCCCTGCCGTACCACGTCCTAACCCTCTCAATGACGGCAGGCAGAGAAGAGGGTGGAGGGGGAGGGGATGCAAGGGCAGTGCGATATATGGTAGCGGGAGCGGCCGCGGGGAGGATGAGGGGTGGCGGGGGGGATGCCGAACGGTGTGGGGGTTGAGGGGTTTTAGGAAGCGCGCCATAACCCATGCAGGCCCGAGAGAATCCCAACCGAAATCCAACTGCTGCTATTGCCCCGGCCCCTCCACCCCCTCCGGCCCCTCCCTCCCTAGCCGCCCTCGTCCCTCCCTTCACATCGCGACATCCTCCACTACCACAGCCACCATCATAATCACCCGCGCCATCATTATATCATTATCAACATCATCATCAACATCATCATCATCTTAACCAACATCACCGCCTCTTCCCATCTCCGCCATACACAGCTACACACGCCGCTCTCACCTCCCTGCCAAACCCACCCACCCACCTCCTACTACACCATTTCCCCCTCAACCATCGTCCCCCCCAGCATTCTAAAATCTTAAAAATCAAAATCCTCCACGGACTCCGGGCCCCTCCTCGACCTCCAGGAATGTCTACGCCGCCTCCGGAGATTCGCCTCCTCCTCCTCCGCCTCCTCCGCTTCCCCCGCACAGCCCGGCATCCGCGATACGTTGCCCTTCACCGCGCCGCCCCTCACCCCCTACACCCTCACCTCCTTCGGAGCCACGTCATGTACCGCCAGCAGCGGCCAGGTCCTGGGACCCCGGCTTGGCGGCGAGTGCATCACCTGCGGACTGTACGGCATTGTCCAGGTAAGGTGGTACGTGTTGTCGTACTTTGAGAAAAAGGCCTTTTTCCTGCCTTTCTTCCTAGCGTGCTGGGTATTTGAGTCTCTTGGGTTTGGCGTCGCGCTGCAGTCTTGTGCCAGCTGCCTTGTGGTTCCATATCTGCATCCGCATCCCCGTATCTGTATATGACATCCTTTAAGCATCGTTTTTCAGTTGGCTCCCTGACAACTGTCCTTAACTGCCCTTAACTACCCGCAACTACCCGCAACTCCTCCCCCCAACCCAACCCAGAACGGCAGCTGCACCTGCCCCAGCCACATCCTGTCCCACCGGGTCGGTGCAGCGGCCTGCGGTGACCCCATCAGCCCGGATGGCTCAGCGCGCTCCATTGCGGACCTGCCCGCCTGGTTGTGTAACACCTTCACAACCGCACTAAATCAGTGGAAGGCGGTGGGCGGCGGGGAATTGGGGGGGGAAAGGGGGAAAAGGGGGATGGAGAGTTGGGGCGGTAGGGCGGGAGTCATGGGCTCGTGTGGGTTGGCGTCTTGGGTTTTGGCTGCGGGGTGGTGTGGTAGTTGCGACTGGCAAGCCCGAACGACACGCAAGCAAGGTAAATTTTGCCCCCTCTGGACGTCGCATGTTCACGACCGCCATAACCACCACCACGGCTGACAGTGGTGCGGGACTGCTGCTGTACTGCTGTACTGCTGTACTGCATTTCCTGGCCAATGACTGTCTCCGTACGCGCTCTTCCCTGCCCCGCGTCTTTTCTCTCCCGCGCCGCCGTTGCATGTATTATGTGTGTATGTGTACATGTATGTATGTCTCTACGTGTGTTGTGTACAGAAGCGGCTGCTGGATCACATAGTGGCGAAGCAGTACATCCAGGCCTTCACACAGGCGGTGAGGAGGGGACTGGAGGGGGGAGCTAGGAGGGGGGGGAAAGGAAGGGGAAAGGAGGGGGAAAGGAGGGGTTCCTGTGGCCCTGGGCGCCTCTATACACATCCTCAGAAGCGCCCGCACGCGCACATGCGTGTTGCCGCCACCGCGTTCTCCTCCACTTTAAGGCCCCATGGCCCCCTCCTCCCGGCAGCAGGCATTTACACATCAGGCAAACTCTTAGGAATAGGAGGCTGTTGCTAGGAACTTAAAAGAGGGGGAAAACCATATTCAAGGAAACTGCAAGGATGAACTGCCGGCATCTCCAAAGTTTGAAACGGGCTGAAGTCCTAAGCAAAGATTGAGGTCACCAACACCACGTGGTTTCGGAGGTGAAGGAAAGCCCCGTTGCGTTACCGACGTGGCGAAGAGGTGTGGAGGGCGAAGGGAAGGCGAAAAAGGCGATGGGAGCAGCAACGGATGGAGCTAAACGGGGGGCGTTTTAAAAAAGGTGGGAGGGAGGCGACAGGGAGGGAGTCCTACCTACCAGTTTGCAGCTTTGGACATGTGGGCAGTTGACTCTCTGTTTCCCTCTTGCACGATCGTCATCATCAGACATAACAATAAATAACATAATGTAATATATTTACGTGATATGAAATAAACAGCATCAGCATCCTATGGTTTCCCCACTCCCCCCACCCCCAACGGTGTGCTGTAACGCCCCCAGGCTGGTCCTCTGCTGGACTACACCGCCGTGTACGAGGTAGGTTCAGCTGGGGGGGGACTTGGTGGGGCTGTGTGTGGGGGGGGCCCGGGGGGAAAGACGAACCATGACGAACCATGAAAAGCTGCTGCCAAGGAAAGAGTGTACAAGAAGCAGGACTGACCAGTAGGCGTTCTTGAAGGCGGAGACCTCGGGATGATGTAATGATGATGACCGCGGAAACCTACCTACCTACCTAGCCGCCAAGACTTCAGTAAGAGCGGAAGAGAAGGGAAGGAGAGGGGAAGGGGAACACCGGGGCCCGAGCATGGAAGGGAGAGGTGGATGAGGAGGGGGCGGGCGGGGAGGAAGGGGGCCCCGCGGGAGCCCGTCACCTCTGTGCCCGCGGGGCTCCTACGATCAGCCGCAATCGTTCTTCAGGCTGTTCATGTTCTGGTAAGTTCGTTAAGGACTCACCGGGTCTCAGGTCTCCCAAAAAAACCCTAAGCCCACCCCTTCTCGACAGCTCCAATCCCCCTGCACATTTGCCTTCTCCCGGGCTACCATCCGTCTATTTATCTGTTACCTGCTTCATTCGCCAGTGGTTCGTCTTACCCGCACTACACAGCTCCCTTCCCTCCCTCAGGCTGCCATGCCGCCTCGCCCCAACCTCCGTCTTCGCTCCGGACTTGCAAGGATTCAGATTCTATACATCATACATTATATATTTTTGCTCTTGTAAATGGGAGCCTAAGCTCATCAACTCCAAAACGGATGAAACAAAATTGCACGTGTCCAGAATGAAAAGATCTAATTGTTGATATGTAAATTTCATTTCCGGCCGTTGGATCCTGGCCTGCGTATCCTTTGTCCCGCCGCTCTACCCGACCCATCGCACAGGCTTTCCAGACTTTCAACTCGACCCTCATCTTCGACAGCCGGCGGCCCAACTCGCCCACTCGGGCTCACGGCATCAAGCCCAACTGTAACCGCTGCACGGCCGGCGCCTTCAAAGATGTCTACACTAAAAAAATGGTGTGTGGGTTCAGTGTCCGCTCCACCCTGGGCGGTCGGGGCGCCTGAAACATGTGGGGGCTGAGCTACCTGGTCGGTTGGTTGACAGTTGGTTGACAGACCCGCAAAGAGACGGGTCCGCGGAGCCGGCCCCGGACCCGGCTGTTCCCCTTCCCCCGTCGCATCACGCTGTGTCTGGCGGCATGTTGGGTTGTAAAACGTCCTCTTGAACGAATGTACCAACCTCCGCCCGCCGTTCACCCACGTCTACCCGCCGAGTGATTCACGGGAGCTGACATGAGCGGTGGAGGGTTCAACATCACGGGGTTTCCACCTGCCGGGGTTGCCTGACTGACAGACTGACTGACTGACTGACTGACGGATTGACTGACTAACTGTCCTGGTCTTCGTGTCCTGGTGTCTCTGTGGCCGTCCCCGCTGCCTGCCACTGCCCGGTTGTGGCCCCCTGGCTCCGACTGCATCGTGGATATAGACGCCCGTGTTCGACTGGCACTTTGACGCCATGAACACGTTCCGCTTCATTGGCTATGTGCTGGATAAGGTAGGTGTGGGGGTGAATGGGTGAGTGGATGAGTGGGTGATTGGGTGAATGCCTGAGTGAGTGCATTCTCGGAGAAGAAGGTGGGGCGCCGCGACATGTGTGTGTGGGTGTGGATGTGTCTCATGTTTCGTAAGGGGTGCATGTGTTTTGCTCGTCTTGGAGAGTTCGAGGCCAAAATGAATCTGTTGGGTTGTCAGGCGTCGGAAACTGTCGAAACCGCGGGCAGTGCTTACCTGGAAAGGGAGTGGAGTTATCTTTTGGGGTGGATGTGTGTGTGTGTATGTGTGTGTTTGAACGGTGCGGCAGCTGGGGCCGCGGGGTGGTGCTGTGCTCTCATATGTCGGACGGCCCGATATGCAGTACGCTTGCGCCCCGCCGCCCGCCTCGGCTCGCTTCATTGCGGGCCAGGCAGCTCATTTGTTGCGGATAGTTGATCTTGTGCTGCCCCCCCTCCCCTATTGCCTTCTTGGTTACCGCCTCCCTGGAGCAGGAGCTTGGGGCGCCGTGCCCAGACCTTTGGAACAGCTCTAATCCCAAAGAGTGGAATTACGGCTACTACGACCAGATCATCTGCAAGCCCATGCCGCCTGAGACTTGCTGCGGGGCCAACTTTTATGGGACGACGTCGCCAAGCCTGGATTGAGGGCGTGATTACCAAAAGGACATAAGGGGTTGCCGGCAGCCTGCCGGTTCCACGTTGCCATGGCCGCCGCTAAGTGTGGAAGGCCATGATAGGGGCTTCAGGGCTTAGTCGTGATAGAGGGAACCAGTGGTTAAAAACTTTAAATAGCTTTGATGGCCCAATTTACTGGGTCGTTAGCTCGTTAGATCGGTTATCCTACTGGCCAGGTACCGAAACAACTAGTTACCGACCGGTTTGATAGAGTTGCAAGATTCGTAGTTACCGACCGGTTTGGTAGGGTTGAAAAAATCACAGTTACCGGCCGGTTTGGTAGGGTTGCAGAAATCACAACGCGTTATGGTATTGACAAGCAGAATGTTGCATCTTGCATGTGTGGAGGTTTTGGGGTTGCACATATTGCTTTTATGAGGATTGTACCCGGAAAGTGTGTGATCTGGTTATCGGCCCGCCCCGTGTAACGAACTGTTGGACGAGTTACGTTCGCACACATCGTGTTATTGGCCAAGATGATTATCTTCCACGACTCATACATCTATCATATTAACTCTAAATATATATGTGTATGGCATCACGCAATAATGATCCTAACGCTTTTCGTTGCCTTGTGCCTCGGCTTTAGGACGTTTTCACAAGCGGCGTCGCTAGACGAATGCCAAGCACTAACTGATAGCTATCTTAGCAAGCATCGTAAGGAGGCTTCACCATTTATGGGAACCAACTTGGTTTACTTCCTGCACGTCCCACGGACAGCAGGGCGGACGTTCCAGAGCTGCTTGCTGAGAATGGGCGTGCATCCGGCTCTCAGATGTCCTAAAGCCTATGATCACTTGCGTATAACCAATATGAGCCAGCCCAACTGCTACTTGCTTAGTTCGCATGACGACTTCAGCGTAGTTTCAATGTTACCGCCGGATGTTGCGGTCATCACACAGCTTCGTGATCCTGTAGATCGATTTTTGTCAGCATATGAGTTTGCAGTGGAGGTTGCATCTCGGACGCTGCGGCGGCCAAAGAATTTCCGCAAGCGGGTGGGCAGGATCGCCACCGAGGACGTATGGCCATGGTCGTATCTTGTGCCGTTCTTCGCAGAAGACCTGAAGGCCAAGGTGGGGACCTCTCGACGGCATACGCTGGCCTTGGGACTTTGTCAAAACAGACGCCGAGTCGACATGTACGGCTGTCTCAGCATGGGACGAGCCCCTGTCCGCACACGTAATCCCCGCTGCTTCAAAGAGCTTGGTTCTAGAGGATCTGGCTACTGACCAGATCAGCGTGAACCCTCACCTCATGGACGTTCTTACGCATGTGTGGCCGGACTTCAAGCGCGTCCAATTCCCCCACCGAAAGCAAGGCTCACCTGCCCAAGTAGTTGAGAAGCCCCTTCCCTTAGAATCCGGTACTGGCAATCGATAACGTCTCTTCGACATTCTACCCAATGCCCCCTGGGGACTTCACCTGGGGAAACTGCCGCAGGTGCCAGCTGCGCAGGCCAAGGTGCTGCCTCCGGGTGGTAAGCCACAGCACGCTGCTCTCTCTTTTCTGCGGCTGGGAATTCTCTAGCGTACTGAGCTGGATTGGAACCGGGTTTGGATCTGGGAGGCCCTGGCGGTGCTTGTTTGAAACGGTGTTACCAGTGGCTGACAGCGGCGTGTACTTCTTGTCCAGATAGCCTCATGGAACTGCCACGCGGGGAGGGGGTTTGTCTCCTCATCTTAGAGCGGATCTGTCCGCATCGGCATCGGCCTGGGCCGCAGCCCTTGGCGATGCGCTGAGAAGCTATGCGATGCGATTTGGGTTTCCGTGTGGCAATCATGCAATTCCAGGGGCTGTACAGTTGCCTTACGATTTGGGTCGCGGCGAAATGGGGCCGATGTGGGTCGCTACGTGCGCCATTTGATTTGGGTCGCTATGACATCAGTGAGCTGTGGTCACTGCGGCCACTCCGCGATGTGGGACATCAGCCCGGCCGACGCATCATGTGACCTAATCACCTAATTAGGCGCCGTACAGCGATGTGGGTCGCGACCCTCTGGGAAAGTAGCCATCCTGTTATCGCAATCTTCTTTATTGGGAGCCCTTCCTTCATTTCCCCGTCGCAGTTTCTCGCATACGATTTTCCCAATCCCTTTCCTCCTGTTTTGCATTCCGTCTACACCCGCACAACCACGTTTCCCATGTCGCATGGACCTTCGTAGCCCCTGACAGCGATCTCACCCGCCACCACGATTACTACACTGTCCTGCGACTGTGCTATGCTCAGCAGTGCCATCCAATGCTATCGATGCTCTATGCTTTGCGTGTATACTATTACCACGCCTGCCGATCGTGGGGGTTATTGCCGGTGGTTGGTCCTACCCTACCTTCCCCCAGGCGTGTGGGCGGAGATGGAGGACGGCGACCGCCGGTACTTCTTTAACAAAGCCACAAACGAGACGAGAGATGCGCTCACGGAGGCAGAGGCGGCACAGGGCATGCTGCCGCTCCTTGATCCGTACGACAATGAATTGGTGCTAAGCCTCAAGGTACGGCAGTCCCGAAATTGAAACGAACGCGAACAGGGGACGTGACGCGGCGTAACCGAATGAGGACAGTACTTGGAGCGAGGGACATGGACCTCTCGATGCCGCCACATTGGTTGTGGGTTAGCGCAGTGACGCCACTTGCAACAGCCGCCACGGCTGATACTGATGTTACTGCTGACTGACGGCTTCTAGGATAGCAACAGCAGGAGCAGCAATAGCAGCAGGAGCAACAGCAGGGCAGCAGCAGGAGCAGCAATAGCAGCAGTCAGCATTCGCTGCGGTGGGTCGCCAAGCATAACCCGGGGCCCCTGTTGGATGCCTCCCCAATGCCCTTGTCCGGAGAGGACTTTACCGTGATGTGCTGATCTGTGCTGTGCCCCTCAGGACTTTGCCAACCACCCCATCGCGTCCGAGCTGTTGCACAACGGCGCGTCGTTCCAGGTGGGCGTGCGTCCACAAGGAAGGAGTCCTAGGGAAATTTTTCGGTCGGGGGGAGCGGCGCGTTGGGTAGCGGTAGGGACCGCTTGCGAGGAACTGAAGGGGGAGGCGAAAGTAAACACGGCGCTCATGTCGGGTCATGTCGGGAGAAGCGTCGACCGGGACAGGCTGGAGCCTGAGAACACATGATCATCAGTGTTGCAGGGCGAGGGGGGGGGTTAACTGCAGACATTAAAGAAAGGAGCTGCCAACACCCAGTGAGGGGATAGGTCCTAATATTGAGAGTGTGCAGTACCCTTATTGGGAGTGGAGCAGGGTCTGGCGGCCTGCCGACCTGCGCGAGCGATAATCGGGGGCTATGGGGTGTTGATGGCGGCGGCTTCGTATGGCTCAGGGGTTGCATGTGCACGCCCCTCACAGAGACCCTGTCGAAGTCTGTGACCTTCCGCACATTTCCTGCACCGTCGCGCCTTTGTCGTCCCTGCTGTTGTTTCCTGCTCCGCTGCTACCGCTCCTCCTCGCCTCCGCATCCTGATGTTCTTCCTACCAACGCCTACCAAGTGGTTTCGTTGTCTCTCTTCTTATGATCGTTAACCCATTCCCGCTGCCGCTACTGCTGCTGCCCCTGCCGCTGCCCCTGCCGCTACTGCCCCTGCCGCTACTGCCCCTGCTGCTGCCCCTGCCGCTGCCCCTGCCGCTACTGCCCCTGCCGCTACTGCCCCTGCCGCTACTGCCCCTGCCGCTACTGCCCCTGCCGCTACTGCCCCTGCCGCTACTGCCCCTGCCGCTGCCCCTGCTGCCGCTGCTGCTCCTGCTCGTCCCCTTCATGATACCGTCGTAACCGCGCCAGGTGCTGGGGATCACCAACTACTCCCACTGGGGCGACGCCGGTGGGTTCCGCGCCTGCCTGCTGCGATACGAACATCTGCGGGACCGGCTGCTGGAGGTGGCCAAGAAACGAGTGCAGCGCTTCACGCACGTGGGGACCACGGACCGCCTGTACGAGTCGGCGGCGTCGGCACTGGTCAGCAGAAGGGGGAGAGGCGGGGGCCGGGTGGCTGCCCCGGCTGCCCGGGGGCTACTCGGCGCAGCTTGGGATTGTACCTCGTGGTGTACTTTCTCTGCGTCTAGTTCCTGTGTTTAGGATTGGGGTTGGGGTTGGGGCGGGGGTTTGGGGTATGCTTACTGGCTGGGCGGACAAGGCAGCTGTCAATCTAGTTTTGACTTTGTGCAAATCTAGCAGTAATCCGAATCCCGGTGGAAATAAAACGGAGAGAGAGAGCTCAAACCCGGCACATGCTTCGTAGGTGTCTCTGGGGTTCACGGTGGACAGCCCGGCTTACTCTGGAGGCGATGAGGATGTGGCGGGCCGTGGGGGAACGCGGCGACGGGCGGCGGAGGCGGCGATGGCAAAGGCAAAGGCGGCAGCGGGCGGCGATGGCAGCGGCAACGGTTGGGTGCCCGCTGCTGGCCAGCCAGTGAATGGCGAGGCGGCCGCCAGGCTGCAGCTGCTGGCGAAGCTGGTTCGGGAGGTGGGCTCTGGGGCTTCTGGGGCCTCTCGGCGTATAGGTCGGTCGTATAGGTCGGCGGAGGGAATCTCAATCAAAGGAAATCTCAATCTTATCTTTCCTTGAATCACGTCGGGAGCCTGCCGCCCGCTTGTTCTCGTCCTTTCCTTGTTGTTCTCGACTCGCCTGTCCTAGAACTTTATTCCATTTCTTCGTGGCGTTGACCGCTCGCCGGGCATACACACTCACACACTTACAAACATACATACATACACACAGGCCCGCCGGCGGCTGCAGAACGCGCAAATCGAGCTGGTGAACGCACAGAAGGTGCGGCAGGCCATGTTGCCTTTTAGAGCGCAGGGGGTGATGTGCACACCTTTGTGATTGCTTGACTGACGGGGCGGGAATATCGCCAATGGGGGAGGTAAGGATAGGGCTGCATTGGTTAGAATCAACGTCGATAGCGTTACTACTCAAATTTGAATAGTAACGCTCAAGTATGAGTAGACGAGCAGTAATAATAGTTGGTGTTGTAACCCACGGCCCCCACGGCCCGGCCCCCCTTAACCTGGTGTACTCTTGCCCTGGCAGCAGCTTCACTCGTTCGTGGTTCGTCTTTTCCCCCTTAACCCATGTTCGCCAGAGAACCTTTTTGTTAAAGATTTTAGCTACCCCAGCGACCCTAGTGCGTCGCTTGTCTTACCCTTCTCTTTCCCCTTGCCCGCGTCTCGCCCCCCAAACACGTCCCTCCGCCGCTCGGCTTTTCCTCAACCCCCTCACCGCGCCCCGTGCCCTCTAAACGACCATCCTTGGTGGTGCTGTACAGTCAAATTCGGATCCCGGCTTGGTCGCGATGCTTCGGAACCGCGTCGATTCGGCGCGCAATGAGCTGATCGATGCACAGGTACGGAATGGATGACGTGGATGGCGTCAGCACGCCGGTGGATGAGCAAGTGCCCCGGGAATTTTACTGGCGTGTGTGTGTGTGTGTGTGTGTGTGTGTGTGTGTGTGTGTGTGTGTGTGTGTGTGTGTTTCATGCTTCGTGTTTTGGTTTTCGTGGTGGTGTTTTCTCCACCTACCACTACCAGGAAACCCCTGGAGATGACTCGAGGAGTAACACACAGATTCGTCTGAGGGACCTTCGAAGTGTCGTAGCACGGCCACGGCCAGGGCCACGGCCACGGGTGTTTCTGTGCTGCATCTCCGGCGCCAGCATTTCTGAGGCTGTCCGGATGGTTGGGGGAACCCCGTGCCCTTTCACCGTCGGGCCATGCCCTGCCGTGTGGCACAACACGTCACGCTGTACGCTTCCATTTTCGCTATACTTTGTTTGTTCACTTTGGCTCTTTACATCCCCTCCACCCCCCCACCCCACCCTTGTGTCCACCTTTGCCCTCTTCCTTAACTTCGCATCTGTTCCTTCCACTCCCCTCCCCCCTTTTCTACGTCTGGTACACTCTTGCCCTGGCAGCACCTTCACTCGTTGTGGTTCGTCTTTCCCCTCCACCCCTCCGTCCTCTCCCTTCCATCCTCACCGCCTCACAGGAGAATCTGGCGTCCGTGCGGGAGATGCTGCCGGCGGACCTAGGCGGAGCTGGTGGCTCACAGCAACAACAACAGCAGCAGGAGTTGTACGTTATGGGCGCCGCTGTGTGTGTCTGTGTGTCTGTGTGTGTGTCTGTGTGTGTCTGTGTATGTTGCTGGGGAGCAGAGGGGAGGAAGGGACTAGAGTCCAGCTGGGCCGCAAAAAGAAGAGATGACGTGCGTTCGTGCGTTGAGATTAGGTGTGTTTGCGCGTGCGTGCGTGCGTGCGTGCGTGCGTGCGTGTATCCTCTCGATGGGCGAAAGGATGAGGTGGGAGGTCGCTGCGTCCGCCGCCTAGGTGCCTGTCCTTCCCCGCCGCGACCCGCCTCCCCTCGGCGCGTCTCTACTGCCTCGCGTATTTCCTGCACCCGCCTAGTCTCTCCCACACACACACAAATACATACACACACAAAGACAAGCTCGCTTCGGTAAGGTTATCCGTGTACCACCATTGGTATTTCCCTCTAATCGCGGCTCAGAGCATTATCAACACACAAACACACACATACACACACAAACACACACACACACACAAACACACACACACACAAACACACACACACACACACAAGCACACAAACACACACACACACACCATCGTTTCGCTTGCTCTCGGCGGCCGTCCCTGACCCGCCGCCCCTCTCCCTCTCCCACCCTTGTCCAATCTCTTGCTTGCCAGCAGCGACCTGGACGACTCAGCCGTCGCCAGCCAAGCAGCCCGGAGGAGAAGATTGCTGCAGGACGACACCGCCTCCTCCGCCTCCTCCGCCTCCTCCACCTCACAGCAGCATCAGGAGGACGGAGGCTCCGTCGGCGACTTGGTGAGAAGGGGCGGTGGTGGGAGGGCGGGGAAGCGCAAACTGGCCTGTTGGAAGGAGGAGGAGAAAGGAGGAGGAGGAGGAAGGGAGTGGGGAGCCGCACTGGCATCTGCGATGAGGATATTGGGACACCGTCTGGCGCATCCTCCGGGGTTGCACCGGCCTCCTTTGGTTTCTCCGTTCCTTTCCGGGGTTGGGGATGGGGGCCCCAGGGGAAGGCGGCGGGTGAGGGGGTGAGGGAGAAGATCACCATGTTACCTGCGGCTGCTTGCCTCTGCGTTTGCATGTCTTTGCGTCGGGTTGCATCGCCCTGCTTACCTCCTCCTCCTGCGCCTCCTGCTACCACCTGCTACACCACCACCTCCTCACGGCATTTCGCCTCCTTTCATTTTGCAGTTTAGTTGGGTTGTTTCTGTCCTATCCAGTTCTTTGGTCCTCCTCATCCTCCTCTTCTTCCGTGCCTATCATGTGCAGGACTCAGCCCAGGCGGAGGACAGGGCGGGGCAGATGAGGTGAGTGGGTGAGGTACGGGGTGGGGGGGTTCAGCGGTGCGCTCTCCCCTTCCCCTGAGTCGCTTCCCCCTCCGCCCCCCTCCGGCCCCTCTACACGCTTGCCCTGGCAGCACCTTCACTCGTTCGTGGTTCGTCTTCCCCCCCCCGGCCCCCTCCGCCCCCTCTCCCCCGCTCCCTGGCCCCCAGGAAGCTGATCAGCAGGGTGACGTTTCCGAAAGTCGACGCGTTTGGATACGAGCTGGACCCCAAGTATAAGGAAATAAGTGCGTGTGTGTGTATGTGTGTGTATGTGTGTGTATGTGTGTGTATGTGTGTGTATGTGTGTGTATGTGTGTGTATGTGTGTATGTGTGTGTATGTGCTTTGCTCTGGCTGGGGGATAATGTACGGGACCCCCGTCATGTATGGCCTCCCGTCAAACTTTTCATCGCTCCAAAGTCCGTGCTTCAATGCCCGTTTGGGGTCCAAGTTTTGAATTGTTGTTGTTGATGTTGTTGGGCAGTTCTTGCCACTTCCGACTTCCCTCCGCCGGCTTCTACTCCGCCTTTGGATCGCACCGCCTCCACCTCCATCTGAGGTCCTCTGACCACCACAACCACCATAACCACTAACCACCATAACCACAACCACCACAACGAACGGGAGGGAAACATCATCGTCACCATCCTCGTGATCATCATGCTCGTCAACGTTGCTGCACCAGGAGAAGCTGCTAGACCTTTTCTTTCAACTGTGCGGGCCGGGATCCCCTAACCCCAGAAGAAAATCACTCTTGAAGGCGAAGTATCTAAGTTTAAACGTGTGTGTGTTTTCCCCCCCGGTCGTGCTGGTGCCTGATTAGGAAACTCTAATGTGGGCATGGAGTTTGTCCGCTGCGCCAACGCGGCTCAGGAGCGCTCCACCAGCCGCCGCGGTCAGTCGCTGTCGGTGCTGTCGACTGCGGACGGTCGCAAGGTTGTCTTCAGCAAGGCGGCGCGGAAACGTATTCCGAAGGAGGTTATCGACCTCATACGGTGAGGGCGGGGGGGTAAAGAGGTTGGTAGGGGGGGAGGGTTTGGAGGGGTTTGGAGGGGGGGAGGGGTTCGGAGGGGGGGTTCGGATCGCCTGTCCTGCCCTGTCTTCTGGAGCTCTTCTCTTCCTTCCTCGCAACGAGCCGCCTCTTTTACCTCTCACCGGATTGGATTCCCCTCACCTCCTCCTCCTCCACCTCCCTCCCCGTGCCAGCTCCTACAACACCATGGACACCCCTCTTCACCAGCTCGGGCTGAGTCTGCTGGATAAGCGGATCGCGGAGCAGAAGGCCGATCAGCTGTATGAGGACCTGCCGCAAGCCCAGGCGAGGGTGAGATGGTTCGCGGGAGGGTAACGGGTGGGTGGGTGGGTGGGTGGGTGGGTGGGTGGG